ACACACAGCTGTGTACACACCTGTACACACCTGTATACACACAGGTTATACCTCACACGTGTACACACCTGTACACACACAGGTTATGCCTCACACGTGTACACACCTGTACACACCTGTACACACACAGGTTATGCCTCACACGTGTACACACCTGTACACACGTGTACACACACACACAGGTTATACCTCACACGTGTACACACCTGTACACACACACAGGTTATGCCTCACACGTGTACACACGTGTACACACGTGTACACACCGGTACACACGTGTACACACCTGTACACACGTGTACACACCTGTACACACGTGTACACACCTGTACACACGTGTACACACGTGTACACACGTGTACACACCTGTACACACGTGTACACACCTGTACACACGTGTACACACCTGTACACAGGTTATGCCGCACACCTGCGTTACCAGGTAGGTAGCGAGGGGATACGAGCGAGGGCGGCTGACACCAGAGACGCGATTCACGTCGCGCTCAATATAGACACGTGCAGGCACAGCCCACCTGGAGAGTCACGTGGCCGTGGCAGAGGCGAGTCACGTGGCCGTGGCAGAGACGTGCCTCGGGGCCCTCCATAAATGACGTCACGCGATTTTGGACGATTTTTAACCCCCCCCACTCGTCACGCGGTGTCACAAAAAGTCAGACCCCCCCCCACCCTCAAATATGACGTCACAAAGCTCTGCCCCCCCCCCCTCCAAAAAAATATATAAAGCATGCTTCAAATCGCTTTAAACTATTGTCATCGTAGTAATAGGTTTTTACCCTTTTAGCTGGCACAAAAAACTGACACCTTTATTCAAGGGGATCGTGTTTGCAATAACCACAACACAAGCAGTCAAAAATGCAAACAAAAAGAGACAACTCTGATAATGATATTGGCACTGTCCTTGAATTTGATTGGTCCACACCCGAGACGGCTTTTCTTAGAGCCCTTTAGTCTCCACTGGTGTTGGACCAAAAGACGCCAAAAGGCGTACAACTCAAAAACAACGCACTATCAGAGTATTGAGGGCTCGGGGTGAGCCTTTACATTATGAGACCTCCTTTGCCAGGAGCAAGATATAGGAATAGGTTTTTACCCTTTTAGCTGGCACAAAAACTTTTTGTTTGCATTTTTGACTGCTTGTGTTGTGGTTATTGCAAACATGATGCCTTGAATAAAGGTGTCAGTTTTAGGTGCCAGATAAAAGGGTGAAAACCTATTACTTTATCTTATTCCTGGCAAAGGAGGTCTCATAATGTAAAGGCATACCCCGGGCCCTCAATACTCTGATAGTGCGCTGTTTTTGAGTTGTACGCCTTTTGGCGTCTTTTGGTCCAACACCAGTGGAGACTAAGGGCTCTAAGAAAAACCGTCTCGGGTGTGGACCAATCAAATTCAAGGACAGTGCCAATATCATTATCAGAGTTCTCTTTTTGTTTGCATTTTTGACTGCTCGTGTTGTGGGTATTGCAAACACGATGCCCTTGAATAAAGGTGTCAGTTTTTGTGCCAGTTGAAAGGGTAAAAACCTATTACTTTATCTTGTCACTGGCAAAGGTGGTCTCATAATATATTGTCATCGTATTTGCGGCGTATTTAATGTGGCGCTGCACTCTGATGTTGCAGTAGAGAAAACATTTATTAAAAAGTCTATTGAATTAACGTGTTGTGTCTGTATTTATTTGAAGTTGCGCGTTTTGATGTGACGTCACATTTCTCAACCCCCCACCCCTCCCCCTAGGTTCGTGACGTCATTTATGGACGGCCCCCTATGGGTAACGGCTGATTGGGGGCGATCGCCCCGGGCCGCGGGTTTGCGCGCGGGGGGGGGGGCAGCTTCCACGTGGCGGTGTCAGAATGTAACATTTCCAGTTTAAATGAGAAACTCAACAAATGTTTATTTTTCTTAAACGAGATTCGAAGCTTTCGTGATTGCAGGAATTAATCTTCAGTTATTTCGGTAAAGTCACGTAGAAATAAATGTTTTAAATTATATATCTATGATGCCTTGAAAGAGTTGATCTATTTTGGTGTTTGGGCACCTTAGCGCCTCCTGTTTGATTGCCATAAATGGGTAAAATGTACTCCTATTGTTTCATCATTTTAAACATTTAAAAAACAAAAATTGTAACCACGTAAACTCCCCCCCCCTCTCCCCCCACACTCAGCTCTTTTTCACAAGCGACCTGGCCATCACAAATGACAGCTCAACCAAGCGGCCTTATCATCGTTATCATCGTCATCATCGTCATCATCATCATCGTTATCGTCGTCATCATCGTCATCATCGCTATTATCGCTATCATCGCTATCATCGTCGTCATCATCATCATCGCTATCATCATCATCGTCGTCATCATCATCGTCTTCATCGTCATCATCGCTATCTTCGTCATCATCATTGTCATCATCGTCATCATCATCGTCGTCATCATCATCGCTATCGTCATCATCGTCTTCATCGTCATCATCATCATCGTCTTCATCGTCATCATCGCTATCTTCGCCACATCATCATCGCTATCATCATCGTCGTCATCATCGTCATCATCATGGCTATCATCATCGTCGTCATCATCGCTATCATCGTCATCATCGCTATCATCGCTATCATCATCGTCGTCATCAAGTGGCAATGCATGGCGGCTGCCGCGTTCTGTGTAAATAACGCGTGACGACGCTGATTAGAAATGTGGAGGGGAAAACCAGGAGGAGCCGGAGAAAAATCCACACGACCACGGGGAGAGAGACACGCAGACTCCAGCGTCAGGGTCGGGATGGAACCCACGACCTCCTGTAGACCAGGCGAGGTAGTTAACATCTCCTAGCCACCGTGATGATGATGATGAGAGAGAGAGACACGCAAACTCCAAATAAACAGCAGCAGGCGTCAGGGTCGGGATCAAAGCCACAACCTCCTGTAGACCAGGCGAGGTAGTCAACATCTCCTAGCCACCGTGATGATGATGAGAGAGTGAGAGACACGCAAACTCCAAATATACAGCAGCAGGCGTCAGGGTCGGGATCAAAGCCACAACCTCCTGTATACCAGGCGAGGTAGTTAACATCTTTCTGTGTCCGCCCCCTCTGACCCTGACGCCTGCTGCTGTATATTTGGAGTTTGCGTGTCACTCTCTCTCATCACCATCATCATCATGGTGGCTAGGAGATGTTAACTACCTCGCCTGCTGTACAGGAGGACGTGTGTTAGATCCCGACCCTGACACCTGCTGTGTATTTGGAGTTTGCGTGTCTCTCTCTCTCATTATCATCACGGTGGCTAGGAGATGTTAACTACCTCGCCTGGTATACAGGAGGGCGTGGGTTCCATCCCGACCCTGACGATGCCTGCTGCTGTATATTTGGAGTTTGCGTGTCTCTCTGTCATCATCATCATCATCATCACGGTGGCTAGGAGATGTTAACTACCTCGCCTGGTCTACAGGAGGTCGTGGGTTCGATCCCGACCCTGACACCTGCTGTGTATTTGGAGTTTGCGTGTCTCTCTCTCTCCCCGTGTTCGCGTGGATTTTTCTCCGGCTCCTGCAGGGTTTTAGTTTTTTTTATTCCCCCCAGGATCCACATCGCGACGCCTTTCGACTATCTGTCTGCTGCTGCCGCTCTACATGACCACGACGATCACGACGACGATAATCATGATGATGATGATGATCATGATGATGACGACGATGGGCCCACTTCGTCGATGTATAATTATTTGTGATGGCCAGCTACACGGCTCAGTGAGTGGGGCTTACCTATTCTTTGGTTCTTTCGGTAAAGTCACCACTTAGAATGAGAATAAAATTTAAAAAATAATAAAATAAAATAACAATAAAATTCTCACGACGTTTCGGCCACAACACAAGCGGCCTTAAATTTTGATCAAAGCTTTCGTGACTGCAGTAATTCATATTCTTAGTTTTGTCGGTAAAGTCACGTTGAAGGCATCATTATTGTTGTATATATATTTTATTATTTTGTTGTTTCCCTTCAACGTGACTTTACCGAAAAAACTAAGTATACAAGCGGCCTTCTTCATTAGACCCACACACCAGACACAAAGACAAAGGTCCCCCGTGTAGCCTTAACAGACTGTTGGGGCAAGTGCTGCTAGCGAGTAGCAGCAGCACCTATGAACACACAAAGACCAAGGTCCCCCGTGTAGCCTTAACAGACGGTTGGGGCAAGTGCTGCTAGCGAGTAGCAGCAGCACCTATGAACACACAAAGACGAAGGTCCCCCGTGTAGCCTTAACAGACTGTTGGGGCAAGTGCTGCTAGCGAGTAGCAGCAGCACCTATGAACACACAAAGACAAAGGTCCCCCGTGTAGCCTTAACAGACGGTTGGGGCAAGTGCTGCTAGCGAGTAGCAGCAGCACCTATGAACACACAAAGACAAAGATCCCCCGTGTAGCCTTAATAGACTGTTGGGGCAAGTGCTGCTAGCGAGTAGCAGCAGCACCTATGAACACACAAAAACAAAGATCCCCCGTGTAGCCTTAACAGACTGTTGGGGCAAGTGCTGCTAGCGAGTAACAGAAGCAGCTATGAACACACAAAGACAAAGGTCCCCCGTGTAGCCTTAACAGACTGTTGGGGCAAGTGCTGCTAGCGAGTAGCAGCAGCACCTATGAACACACAAAGACAAAGGTCCCCCGTGTAGCCTTAACAGACGGTTGGGGCAAGTGCTGCTAGCGAGTAGCAGCAGCACCTATGAACACACAAAGACAAAGGTCCCCCGTGTAGCCTTAACAGCCTGCTGGGGCAAGTGCTGCTAGCGAGCAGCACCACCTATACAGTCCGGCGCTGTGGCACACGAGGGGGTGGGTGGCCAGCAACCACCACTCCCGGCCGCCTTTGTCTCCCCCAGTGGCGACGTCTACCGCACACCGCGACACCAGGTTACCCATTTTGCGGCCGAGTTGACCCTTAGGGGGAAGGAGGAGGCTCACGGACGCAGGCGAGCAGGCGTAAGACATCACCTGCATCGGGCAACACGGGCGGACGTGGAGACGAGCGGGAATCACCTGCGCGCGATGCCTCATCCCGCCTCGAGATCGCTTCCGCGTGCTGTGGCGGGCTGAGGTGCACCAACCGGTTCCTCCACATCGAGATCCACTCAGCCACCCACCCTTCGCACCCACCCACCCACTCACCCATCGCACCCACCCACCCACTCACCCATCGCACCCACCCACCCACTCACCCATCGCACCCACCCACCCACTCACCCATCGCACCCACCCACCCACTCACCCATCGCACCCACCCACCCACTCACCCATCGCACCCACCCACTCACCCATCGCACCCACCCACTCACCCATCGCACCCACCCACTCACCCATCGCACCCACCCACTCACCCATCGCACCCCCCCCCCCCCCCTGTCGCCCCCACCCACTCACCCATCGCACCCACCCACTCACCCATCGCACCCACCCACTCACCCATCGCACCCACCCACTCACCCATCGCACCCACCCACTCACCCATCGCACCCACCCACTCACCCATCGCACTCACCCACTCACTCAACCACCCACTCACCATCGCATCCACCCACTCACCATCGCACTCACCATCGCACTCACCCACCCACCATCGCACTCACCCACCCACCATCGCACTCACCCACCCACCATCGCACTCACCCACCCACCATCGCATTCACCCACCCACCATCGCACTCACCCACCCACCATCGCACCCACCCACTCACCCATCGCACCCACCCACTCACCCATCGCACCCACCCACTCACCCATCGCACTCACCCACTCACTCATCCACCCACTCACCATCGCATCCACCCACTCACCATCGCACTCACCATCGCACTCACCCACCCACCATCGCACTCACCCACCCACCATCGCACTCACCCACCCACCAACGCACTCACCCACCCACCATCGCACTCACCCACCCACCATCGCACTCACCCACCCACCATCGCACTCACCCACCCACCATCGCATTCACCCACCCACCATCGCACTCACCCACCCACCATCGCACCCACCCACCATCGCACCCACCCACCATCGCACCCACCCACCATCGCACCCACCCACCATCGCACCCACCCACCATCGCACCCACCCACCATCGCACCCACCCACCATCGCACCCACCCACCATCGCACCCACCCACCATCGCACCCACCCACTCACCCACCCACCCACTCACCCACCCACCCACTCACCCACCCACCCACTCACCCACTCACCCACCCACCCACTCACCATCGCACTCACCCACTCACCATCGCACCCACCCACCCACGTGTGGCCTTTAACAGATGCTCGGAGCATGGTGTTATGCTGTTAGCGAGCAGCGATGGATGAATGATCTCACGGCACACGAGGGGGTGGGCGGCCAGCGCCGCACCAGGCACCTTTTTTTAGGCCAAGTCGACCTAGGGGAGGCCCAGGAACGGTTCAGAAAATCGTCACCGATGTGGGTGGTGGCCGCGAGGCGCTTTCAGATGCGCTTCTGCGGCCGTCTGGAACGCTCTTCCCTCCGATATTTGGAAGCCGGTGGGAGCTACGCACTTTAAAAAAATAAATGATCATCATCATCTAGAAATCAGGGGTGGGGACCGTCCGGCCCACAGGCCGGAAGAGGCCCGCGAAATCATTTGGTGTGGCCCTGCTAAGGCAACCGCAGGCGGGACTCGAAATTCAACAAATCTAGGTAGGAGCAAACCTGGAAAAGCAGGTTTCATCATCACTACCACGCCTCGCCAAAGAGAAGCAGTTCCAGTCCATCGCATTAGGGGTGAGTTTAGTAGATTTTTGACCAAATATAACGGGCTAATTTTTAAGTTGATCATTTTGTATGGCTCTCGAAATGATGTTTTATAAATATCCAAATGGCCCTTGGCAGAAAAAAGCTTCCCCTGCCCCTGATCTAGATTGACAAACTCATTTGTTTACAACTTGTTGTGGTTGTTGTGTTTAGTTTGTTGTCGATGGGCGCGGTTGGTCACTATGATGATGATGATGCCTCAAACCACGCATGCGCTCTCTAATCCACGTGCCCCCCTCTCTCTGTCTCTCAGTGTGATTCACATCATCATCGTGGTCTATCCACTGCTGGATGAAGATCAATGTAACGTCTCAAATCAACGCGTCTCTCTCTCTCTCTCTCTGTCTCTCAGTGTGATTCACATCATCATCGTGGTCTATCCACTGCTGGATGACGATCAATATGACGTCTCTAATCCACGTGTCTCTCTGTCTCTCAGTGTGATTCACATCATCATCGTGGTCTATCCACTGCTGGATGACGATCAATATGACGTCTCTAATCCACGTGTGTCTCTGTCTCTCAGTGTGATTCACATCATCATCGTGGGCCTATCCACTGCTGGATGAAGATCAATGTAACGTCTCTAATCCACGTCTCTCTCTTTCTCTCTGTCTCTCTGTGTGATTCACATCATCAACGTGGTCTATCCACTGCTGGATGAAGATCAATGTAACGTCTCTAATCCACGTGTCTCTCTCTCTCTCTGTCTCTCAGTGTGATTCACATCATCATCGTGGTCTATCCACTGCTGGATGACGATCAATATGGCGTCTCTAATCCACGTGTCTCTCTGTCTCTCAGTGTGATTCACATCATCATCGTGGGCCTATCCACTGCTGGATGAAGATCAATTTAACGTCTCTAATCCACGTCTCTCTTTTTCTCTCTGTCTCTCAGTGTGATTCACATCATCATCGTGGTCTATCCACTGCTCGATGAAGATAAATGTAACGTCTCTAATCCACGTGTCTCTCTCTGTCTCTCAGTGTGATTCACATCATCAACGTGGGTCTATCCACTGCTGGATGAAGATCAATGTAACGTCTCTAATCCACGTCTCTCTCTCTTTCTCTCTGTCTCTCTGTGTGATTCACATCATCAACGTGGGTCTATCCACTGCTGGATGAAGATCAATGTAACGTCTCTAATCCACGTGTCTCTCTCTCTCTCTGTCTCTCAGTGTGATTCACATCATCATCGTGATCTATCCACTGCTGGATGACGATCAATATGACGTCTCTAATCCACGTGTCTCTCTGTCTCTCAGTGTGATTCACATCATCATCGTGGGCCTATCCACTGCTGGATGAAGATCAATTTAACGTCTCTAATCCACGTCTCTCTCTTTCTCTCTGTCTCTCAGTGTGATTCACATCATCATCGTGGTCTATTCACTGTTCGATGAAGATAAATGTAACGTCTCTAATCCACGTGTCTCTCTCTGTCTCTCAGTGTGATTCACATCATCATCGTGGTCTATCCACTGCTGGATGAAGATTAATGTAACATCTCTAATCCACGTGTCTCTCTCTCTCTCTGTCTCTCAGTGTGATTCACATCATCAACGTGGGTCTATCCACTGCTGGATGAAGATTAATGTAACGTCTCTAATCCACGTCTCTCTCTTTCTCTGTCTCTCTGTGTGATTCACATCATCGTGGTCTATCCACTGCTCGATGAAGATCAATGTAACGTCTCTAATCAACGCGTCTCTCTCTCTTTCTCTCTGTCTCTCTGTGTGATTCACATCATCATCGTGGTCTATCCACTGCTGGATGAAGATTAATGTAACATCTCTAATCCACGTGTCTCTCTCTCTCTGTCTCTCAGTGTGATTCACATCATCATCGTGGGCCTATCCACTGCTGGATGAAGATCAATGTAACGTCTCTAATCCACGTGTCTCTCTCTGTCTCTCAGTGTGATTCACATCATCATCGTGGTCTATCCACTGCTGGATGACGATCAATATGACGTCTCTAATCCACGTGTCTCTCTGTCTCTCAGTGTGATTCACATCATCATCGTGGGTCTATCCACTGCTGGATGACGATCAATATGACATCTCTAATCCACGTGTCTCTCTGTCTCTCAGTGTGATTCACATCATCATCGTGGTCTATCCACTGCTGGATGACGATCAATATGACATCTCTAATCCACGTGTCTCTCTGTCTCTCAGTGTGATTCACATCATCATCGTGGTCTATCCACTGCTGGATGACGATCAATATGACGTCTCTAATCCACGTGTCTCTCTGTCTCTCAGTGTGATTCACATCATCATCGTGGTCTATCCACTGCTGGATGACGATCAATATGACGTCTCTAATCCACGTGTCTCTGTCTCTCAGTGTGATTCACATCATCATCGTGGTCTATCCACTGCTGGATGACGATCAATATGACGTCTCTAATCCACGTGTCTCTCTGTCTCTCAGTGTGATTCACATCATCATCGTGGTCTATCCACTGCTGGATGAAGATCAATGTAACGTCTCTAATCAACGCGTCTCTCTCTCTGTCTCTCAGTGTGATTCACATCATCATCGTGGTCTATCCACTGCTGGATGACGATCAATATGACGTCTCTAATCCACGTGTCTCTGTCTCTCAGTGTGATTCACATCATCATCGTGGTCTATCCACTGCTGGATGACGATCAATATGACGTCTCTAATCCACGTGTCTCTCTGTCTCTCAGTGTGATTCACATCATCATCGTGGTCTATCCACTGCTGGATGAAGATCAATGTAACGTCTCTAATCCACGCGTGTCCCTCTGTAATTTACATCATCATCATGGTCTACAAACCGCACCAGGTACTCATTTGAGGCTGAGTCGACCTAGGGGTAAGGCCCAGGAACCGGTTCAGATAATCGTCGCTGGTGGTGTTGGTGGACCGTGAGCGGGAATCGAACTCGGGTCGCCAGGTTCGTAGCGCTGCGCTAACCGCTGCGCCACCGCTCCCCCCCCCCTCCGTCCCACGCTCGCAGTTTGACTGCGTGCGTAATGACGTCACCGCGCCGTTACGTCAACTTAAGGCGACGTCACCGCGCACGGCGAGCGCGAGAGGCACGCGAGGTCGCGCGGTGGCGACTCCGCCCACAGCTCGCGCGCCCTCCCTCCCCCCCCCTCGCGCAACGCGGTGACGTAGTGACGCAACGCGTCGACTCCGTCATGCAAACGCGGCGACGTCGGGACGCAACGCGGCGACGTCGGGACGCAAACGCGGTGACGTCACGACGCAAAGCAACGCGGTGACGCCGCGACGCAAAGCAACGCGGTGACGTCGCCGCGCAAAGCAACGCGGTGACGTCGCCGCGCAAAGCAACGCGGTGACGTCAGGACGCAAACAACGCGACGACGTCACGACGCAAACAACGCGGCGACGTCACGACGCAAACAACTCGGTGACGTCACGACGTCAAACCAACGCGGCGACGTCACGACGTCAAACCAACGCGGCGACGTCACGACGTCAAACCAAAGCGGCGACGTCACGACGTCAAACCAACGCGTTGACGTCACGACGCACGTGCTCCGGCAATCGCGTTCCTGGTTCGGGTTTTTTTTTAAATTCTCCGCCGCGTGCTGAAGCCGTCCCCTTAAAATCCGACAAATAAAACACATTTATAGTCGCCGTCATCATCCTCCTCGCCGGTCTTCGTCTACCGTAGTCGCGTCGGTTGCAAGCCGAAGCAAAAAGGGTTTTAAAGTTGGAGGCGTCAAATAAAAGTTTGGGCCGAGGTGAGATCCCACCCCCCACCTCGCTCCCTCAATGCATTGCCTATGGGGGCCTAGCGCGGCCTCGGATAGATTTTGTTTGGATTTTTGTTTAACGAAAAATCCACTTCAAAGTCGCCTCCTCCTCCTCCTCTAACCGAGACACTAAAACGTTCCCCGGAATGTACGACGTTTCGGGCAATGTGCCCACACACCCTCCCCTTTTTTTTCCTTGAACAGAGTCTTGCTGTTGATTGTCAATTGTTGTTTTGTTAACTGTTAACTCGCACCTGATGATGATGCTGATGATGCTGATGGTGGTAATGAATATCGGGCTCCGTTTAGTTGTCATTTGAGGTTAGTGCCAAGGTCCGGTTCTGAACAACAAGTTACGTAGCTCCGGTGGACTTTACCGGGTAAGATAAAATAAATAGTTTAGTTTCGTTTGTGTGCGTGTGTATATGTATATTTAGTTTTTGGAGTGCTTTGTTTTCCTTACTGGACATCTGTAAGCAAAGAGCTTTATAGCTCATCGGATTGCTCCAGTCTAAATAAAGATTCTGCTGTTGGTGTTTGTACACCCACTACCCAACGCTTGATAGAGCACATTATTGGTTTGACAATTCACTATATATACAGTACTGCATATATTAAAAACGTATAATTTGAACTCACGAATTCGTTAACTCATTCACCCACTCGTGCAAATGAGATCCGTCTGTCCTGGTCTCTCTTAAGAGTTCTCACCCTGGTTACAGAACAAAATAAACGCAGAACTCATCATCTCACTCATTCACCCACCCACCATCTCACTCATTCATCCACCCACTCATTCACCTACTCATTCACTCACGAATCTGTCCACTCAATCACCCACTCACTCGTGCGAATGAGATCCCTCTATCCTGGTCTCTCTAAGAGCTCTCACCCTGGTTACAGAACAAAATAAACTCAGAACTCATCATCTCACTCATTCACCCACCATCTCACTCATTCATCCACCCACCCACTCACTCATTCACCTACTCATTCACTCACTAATCTGTCCACTCAATCACCCACTCACTCGTGCGAATGAGATCCCTCTATCCTGGTCTCTCTAAGAGTTCTCACCCTGGTTACAGAACAAAATAAACTCAGAACTCATCATCTCACTCATTCACCCACCCACCATCTCACTCATTCATCCACCCACCCACTCACTCATTCACCTACTCATTCACTCACTAATCTGTCCAGTCAATCACCCACTCACTCGTGCGAATGAGATCCCTCTATCCTGGTCTCTCTAGGAGTTCTCACCCTGGTTACAGAACAAAATAAACTCAGAACTCATCATCTCACTCATTCACCCACCCACCATCTCACTCATTCATCCACCCACCCACTCACTCATTCACCTACTCATTTACTCACTAATCTGTCCACTCAATCACCCACTCACTCGTGCGAATGAGATCCCTCTATCCTGGTCTCTCTAAGAGTTCTCACCCTGGTTACAGAACAAAATAAACTCAGAACTCATCATCTCACTCATTCACCCACCCACCTTCTCACTCATTCATCCACCCACCCACCCACTCATTCACCTACTCATTCACTCACGAATCTGTCCACTCAATCACCCACTCACTCGTGCGAATGAGGTCCCTCTATCCTGGTCTCTCTAAGAGCTCTCACCCTGGTTACAGAACAAAATAAACTCAGAACTCATCATCTCACTCATTCACCCACCCACCATCTCACTCATTCATCCACCCACCCACTCACTCACTCATTCACCTACTCATTCACTCACTAATCTGTCCACTCAATCACCCACTCACTCGTGCGAATGAGATCCCTCTATCCTGGTCTCTCTAAGAGCTCTCACCCTGGTTACAGAACAAAATAAACTCAGAACTCATCATCTCACTCATTCACCCACCCACCTTCTCACTCATTCATCCGTCCACCCACCCACTCATTCACCTACTCATTCACTCACTAATCTGTCCACTCAATCACCCACTCACTCGTGCAAATGAGATCCCTCTATCCTGGTCTCTCTAAGAGTTCTCACCCTGGTTACAGAACGAAATCAACTTGGAACTCACCCATCATCTCACCCACCCAACTTCCCATTCAGCCACTCACTAATCCGTCCACTCATTCACCCACTCACGCTTGCATCTCATTCGGCACCCCCACCCCCTTTTATTATTGTCACCGCTGGTCTCACCTCGTTGCCTCACCTCGTCGCTTGTGCACAGCTCTCTGGGGGCGTCTCTGTGCTGTGTAGAAGGAGGACGAGGAGGACGAGGAGGAGGAGGGTAGGACGCGGTTGATGAGACGGTGGAGGAGTCGACCAGCCATGTCCGACTCAGAGGAGGCCTCGTGGGAGGATTGTCCGGGTCTGGTGTCCAGCGATGACGAGGTGGTACTGACGCGTGTCTCGTCCGTGTCTGTGCGTGTCCGAGCGTGTGTGTGTGTGTCTGGATGTCTCTTGAGTGTGTGTGTTTCTGGATGTCTGTGTCTGTGTGTGTGTCTCAGTGTGTGTGTCTCTGGATGTCTGTGTGTGTATGTCTCTGGATGTCTGTGAGTGTGTCTCTTGTGTGTCTCTGGATATCTGTGAGTGTGTCTGTGAGTGTCTGTGTGTGTGTCTCTGGATGTCTGCGAGTGTGTCTGTGAGTGTCTGTGTGTGTGTCTCTGGATGTCTGCGAGTGTGTCTGTGAGTGTGTGTGTCTAGCTCTCTGTGAGTGTGTCTCTGTGTGTGTGTGTCTATGGATGTCTGCGAGTGTGTCTGTGAGTGTGTGTGTCTAGCTGTTTGTGAGTGTGTCTCTGTGTGTGTGTGTCTCTGGATATCTGTGAGTGTGTCTGTGAGTGTCTGTGTGTGTCTCTAGATGTGTGTCTGTGTTTGTTTCTCTGGATGTCTGTGAGTGTGTCTCTGTGTATCTTTCTCTGGATGTCTGTGAGTGTGTTTGTGTGTGTGTCTCTGTGTGTGTCTCTGGTTGGCTGTGTGTCTGTGAGTGTCTGTTTCTGTGTGTGTGTCTCTGGATATCTGTGAGTGTGGCTCTGAGTGTCTGTGTGTGTGTCTCTGGATGGCTGTGTGTGTGTCTCTGTGTGTGTGTCTCTGGATGGCTGTGAGTGTGTCTGTGAGTGTCTGTGTGTGTCTCTGTGTGTGTCTCTGGATACACACAGAGTGTCTCTGCCAGGCACGCTGAGGAGAGGCTTGCGGAGCCCCAATGCGGTTTCAGGAAAGGGCGGTCCTGCACAGATGCCATATTTTCTGTCCGTCTGCTACAGCAGAGGTGTAGGGAATTCCAGCAAGACCTACATCTCTGCTTTATTGACCTGGTCAAGGCCTATGATACCATCAGTAGGCCTGGGCTCTGGGTTGTCCTTCGTGCTTTTGGAGTCCCTGACCCTCTGCTCACGATCATTAAGGACCTTCATGATGGTGAGCGGGCCCGGGTAAAACTACGTGGCCGGGAGTCAGAGCCATTCGCTGTACACCTTGGGGTGCGACAGGGATGTCCTCTGGCTCCCACATTATTTAACATCTATTTTGACCACGTAGTTCGTGAGGCCTTCAATGTCTGTACCGGGGGAATCTCCATTTGGTACAGATATAATGGGAGGCTGATGGATGCCCGGGTGCGATCAAGGGATGGCTCCCTATAGCTCAACCATGTTATGTATGCCGATGATTTGTTAATAGCTGCTCATTCAGAGGAGGAGTTGGAGACGCTGCTGCAGAGACTGGAGCGTGCCACTAAGAGATGGGGCCTTACCATCAGCCCCACCAAAACTAAGCACCTGCCTGGGTATTTTGTACCATCGGACACTCCACCCCCACAACTCCCAATCGGTGATGGGGCAGTTGTGGAGAGAGTGGAGAGTTTCCCATACCTGGGCAGTGCGCTTATGACTGGCTCCAGTTTAACAGCAGAGGTCTCACTCCGAATCAGTCGAGCGGCAATATCTTTTCATCGGTTGCGTAACGCTGTGTGGAAGCTACCTGGTCTGTCGCTCCGCACTAATCTTCAGGTCTTCTCGGGCATGGTCATTCCCTCCCTTCTCTCCCCTAATGGAACATCTTTGCCGGTTAGAAACTTTTAGGCTAGCCTGCCTACGATTCATCCTGGGTTTAACCAGGCTGGATTGTGTGAGGAGCTCACAAATACTTGAAAGATCTGGTCAAGGTCCCATCGGTGAGCTCCTCCGGCAGGCAAGGCTACGTTGGCTGGGTCATGTAGCCCGCATGCCCAGCCACCCCATGCCGAAACAGCTTTTGTTTGGCTGGATCGAGGGGGCTAAACGGACGTGGCATGGGCTAGAGAAGAGATGGAGTGATGTGGTACAGGAGGACGTGGAGCTGAGTGGACTTGCTGATGACTGGTGCCAGCGGTGTCAAGATCGGCCTCTGTGGAGGAGACTCGTGAAGGACGCTGCTACTGGGCAGTTGGAGGCAGTCGCCCTCCAACAACAACGGAGGGCGGAGGAGCGACGCTCACAACAATGAGCGGAGCGCCGGGTGGCTAAAGCACAGCAGGTTGGCACAGTAGGGGGCACAAGTGGTGCATCAGCCAGTCATCTGAGTCGTCTCAGTCTGTCGACCCGTGGCACCTGGGTCTGCCCCGTGACCTCCTGCCAGCGGGCGTTCGACACTTCACGTGGCCTCAAGGTGCACATGGCCTGGCACAAGCGTCGTGGTGACGTCACCGCCACTTAGTGGCGAATGGCGGTTGTTGTTGTGTCTCTGTGTGTGTGTCTCTGGATGGCTGTGAGTGTGTCTGTGAGTGTCTGTGTGTCTCTGTGTGTGTCTCTGGATGGCTGTGAGTGTGTCTTTGAGTGTCTGTGTGTCTTTGTGTGTGTCTCTGGATGGCTGTGAGTGTGTCTGTGAGTGTCTGTGTGTCTCTGGATGGCTGTGAGTGTGTCTGTGAGCGTCTGTGTGTCTCTGGATGGCTGTGAGTGTGTCTGTGAGTGTCTGTGCGTGTGTGTCTTTTTGTCGGCCTTCATACCTAGGTGCTCACTAACGGCACTTGCCCCAAGAGTCTGTTAACGCTGTACGGGGGGGGAAGTCTTTGTCTTCGTGTGGGGAGCGGTAGTGCAGCGTTTATCGCCCTGCCCTACAAACCCGGCGACTGGCCTTCGATTCCTGCTCACGGCTGATTATCTGAACCGCTCCTGGGCCTCCCCCCCTAGGTCGACTCGGCCTCAAATCGGGTACCTTGTGTGATGAATATCGCAGCGAGGCAAATGGGGCCGGCCTCCATCCCAGGCGCCGCTTTCTTGACGGCCACTTGCTCCAAAATATCTTCTTTGGTTCTTTCGGTAAAGTCACCACGTAGAATGAGAATAAAATAATAAATGGATAAAATAAAATAACGCAATAATATTCTCCAGCGCTGTCCTACCAGACAGTCTCGTCCCTTCACCTGATGAAGGCCGCTTGTGTTGTGGCCGAAACGTCATGAGAATATTATCGTGTTATTTTATTTTATCAATTTATTATTTTATTCTCATTCTACGTGGTGGTGACTTTACCGAAAGAACCAAAGAAGATGAATCATTGCAGTCACGAAAGCTTTCAATCGAAAATCCAAAATATCTAACGGGGGCGGTGGGACCTTTATCCGCGCATGGGCGTGTGAGCCAGTGGGGTTTCCCCCGTAGGTGGTTTTGGCGGTTAACGGCGGCCGGGCGGCTGAGTTTGCGAACGTGGTGGCGCGGCATTGGGGCGCGGGCGTGCGGGCGGGCGGGCGCATCGGCCAGTCGCCTTCCGGTTCGACCCACGGCACGCGCCGGGCCCGTGCCCGTGCCCTGCCGCCAGCGTGGCCTTTGACGCGCGCACAGCCTGGCACAGGCGCCGTGCCGCTTGGCGGCGAATTGCGGTTGTTGTTGTTGTTGTTGTTTTGAGAGTGTGTGTCCGTGTCCCTCCTGCCTGTGCGTCCTTGTCCGTTGAAACGTGCTTCTTGCCGTGCGTCTTTGTCTTTCTCTCCGTCCTTCTGTCAGTCTGTCTTGTCACTCACGCCCTTGCCGTGTGTTTGTTGTTGTTGGGAACCAGGAGGAATGGGACGATTCCAAAAAGCCTGCCGGACCCATGACCAACGGTGAGCGCCTGGCACCAGCTGCTGCTGCTGCTGCCTCTGCCACTGCTGCAGATACCGCTTCTTCTGATACCGCTGCTGCTGCTGTTGCTACTGCTGCTGATGCCACTGCTGCTGCTGTTGCTCCTGCTGCCACTTCTTCTGATACCGCTGCTGCTGCTGATGCCGCTGCTGCTGCTGTTGCTCCTGCTGTCACTACTACTGATACCACTGCTGCTGCTGTTGCTACTGCTGCTGATACCACTGCTGCTGTTGTTGCTCCTGCTGTCACTACTACTGATACCACTGCTGCTGCTGTTGCTACTGCTGCTGATGCCACTGCTGCTGCTGTTGCTCCTGCTGCCACTTCTTCTGATACCGCTGCTGCTGCTGATGCCGCTGCTGCTGCTGTTGCTCCTGCTGTCACTACTACTGATACCACTGCTGCTGCTGTTGCTACTGCTGCTGATACCACTGCTGCTGTTGTTGCTCCTGCTGCCACTACTACTGATACCGCTGCTGCTGCTGTTGCTACTGCTGCTGATGCCACTGCTGCTGCTGTTGCTACTGCTTCTGATATAGTTGCTTTTGCTGTTGCTACTGCTTCTGATACAGTTGCTTCTGCTGTTGCTACTGCTGTTGATGCCACAGCTACTGATACCACTGCTCCTGCTACTGCTGCTGATACCACTGCTTCTGATACCGCTGCTACTGCTGTTGCTACTGCTGCTGATGCCACTGCTGCTGCTGTTGCTACTGCTTCTGATACAGTTGCTTCCGCTGTTGCTTTTGCTGCTGATGCCACTGATACCACTGCTGCTGATGTTGGCTACGTACGGTGTGAAAGAAGTTCAACATACGTACACACCACTGCTTCTGCTGCTGATACCACTGCTGCTGCTGCCGATGCTACTGCTGCTGATGCCACTGCTTCTGATACCACCGCTTCTGATACCACTGCTTCCGCTGTTGCTCCTGCTGCTGATGCCACTGCCACTGGTACCACTGCTGCTGATGTTGGCTACGTACGGTGTGAAAGAAGTTCAACATACGTACACACCACTGCTTCTGCTGCTGATACCGCTGCTGCTGCTGCCGCCGCCGATGCTACTGCTGCTACTGCTGCTGCTGTCATTATTTCTGTTGCTGCTGCTGCTGCTTCTTACGCCATTTGCACCACTGCTGCGTGTTGCTACCTGTGCTGATACCGCTGCCGGCGTTGTCATTGTTGCCGTTGGCGCTGCTGGCGCGCTGATGCTGTTGACGACACCGCCGCACGTTGCTGCCGCTGTCGTCGCGTGCAGAAGAGGCTGCGTCGAGCTGGGTAGCTGTGCCGCTGGAATCGCGCGTGCAGCACCACCGGGCGGCTATGATGTACCTGTACGGGCCGCTGCTGTTCATGAGCGAGAAGATGCCCGCCAAGTTGATGGAGGTCGCCAAGCAGTAAGAGACACGCACGTTGGCAGAGAGAGAGAGAGACGTGGAGACGCGGACACACGGGACAGTGACACGCTACACGGTGGCAGTGCGGGTCGCAAAATTACGATTTTATTACTAACAAAACCCCAATGATCCGATCGATACGTACACACACACGATATATATATACACACACACACGATACATACACATGATACATACACACGATATATACACACACACGATATACACACACACGATGCATACACACACATGATACATACACATACATACACACGATATATATACACACACACGATATACACACACACGATGCATACATACACATGATACATACACATGATACACACACACGATATATACACACACACTATATATACACACACGATACATACACACACACGACACACACACATGATACATACACACACACGATACATACACACACACACGATACATACACACACATGATACGTACACACACACACGATACATACACACACATGATACATACACACACACACGATACATACACACACGATACATACACGATACATACACACGATATATACACAGACACGATACATACACACACACACGATATATACCCACACACACGATACATACACACACACGATACATACACACGATATATATATACACACACACACGATATACACACACACACGATACATACATACACATGATATATACACACGATATATATACACACACGATATATACACACAGACACGATACATACATACACACGATACATACACACAATATATACACACACACACACGATATATATACACCCACAGACACGTACGGAGACACAGAGAAAAACACACACAAAGACATGGAGCGACACACACACACACACTACACACCGCACCAGGTACTCATTTAAGGCCTAGTCGATCTAGGCGAGGCCCAGGGCAGGTTCAGAGTCGCCTTGCACAGCGGTGCTAACCGCTAACCGTTGCACTACGACCCCGGCGCCCCGAGATCAATTAACCGCTCACAGCCAACAGCACCGGTGACGATTATCTGAACCGGTTCTGAGCCTCCCCTAGGTCGACTCGGCCTCAAATGAGTAACCCGGTGCGGTGTGTGGTAAACATCGCCACCGGGGAGACAAAGGCGGCCGAGCGTGGTGCCGACGAGTCAACCCTCGTGCTGTGCCGGTAGCCTTCGTAGGTGCTGCTACTCGCTAACAGCACTTGCCCCTGCAGTCTGTTAGAGGAAACACGGGGGATCTTTGTCTTTGTGTGTGTCTTTGTGTGTGTATCTTTGTCTTTGTGTGTGTTTGTCTTTGTGTGTGTGTCTTTGTCTTTGTGTGTGTCTTTGTGTGTGTGTCTTTGTCTATGTGTCTTTGTCTTTGTGTGTGTGTCTTTGTCTATGTGTCTTTGTGTGTGTGTTTGTCTTTGTGTGTGTGTCTTTGTGTGTGTGTCTTTGTCTTTGTGTGTGTGTCTTTGTCTTTGTGTGTGTCTTTGTGTGTGTCTCTGTCTTTGTGTGTGTGGCTTTGTCTTTGTGTGTGTCTTTGTCTTTGTGTGTGTGGTTTTGTCTTTGTGTGTGTCTTTGTGTGTGTGGCTTTGTCTTTTTCTGTGTGTCTTTATGTCTATGTGTCTTTATGTCTTTGTGTGTGTCTCTGTCTTTGTGTGTGTGTCTCTGTCTTTGTGTGTCTCTGTCTTTGTGTGTGTGTCTCTGTCTTTGTGTGTGTCTGTCTTTGTGTGTGTCTGTCTTTGTGTGTGTGTCTTTGTCTTTGTGTGTGTGTCTCTGTCTTTGTCTGTGTGTCTCTGTCTTTGTGTGTGTCTGTCTTTGTGTGTGTGTCTTTGTCTTTGTGTGTGTGTCTCTGTCTTTGTCTGTGTGTCTCTCTGTCTTTGTGTGTGTGTCTCTGTCTCTGTGTGTGTGTCTCTGTCTACCGGGTGTGGTGGTGCCGGCCACCCACCCGCTGGCGTGCCACGGCGCCGGCCTTCGTAGGCGCCGGTGCTACTCGCTAACTAACAGCACTTGCCCCTGCAGTCTGTTTAGAGGCTACACACGGGTGTGGCGGCGGGGGAAGAGGGGGTACCTTTGTCTTTGGCATGTTCCGCGTGCGTGTTGCAGGCACCTGACGAACATCGACATCAACGGAGCTCACTTCGCGGACTTCCTGTGGCAAGTGGGACAAGCGTTCATGCAGAACAGCGTACGTGCCCCCGCACAGTTACAGAAACACGATCGCCAAGATTGCCGAATATGGCGTCCTCTACCGGTGGCTAGGAGATGTTAACTACCTCGCCTGGTACGCAGGGGGTCGTGGGTTCGATCCTGACCCTGACGCCTGCTGCTGCTGTACATTTGGAGTTTGCGTGTCTCTCTCTCTCTCTCATCGTCATCATGGTGGCTAGGAGATGTTAACTACCTCGCCTGGTGTACAGGAGGTCGTGGCTTCGATGAAGCACGGCTACATTATTTGTTGTGTGTCATGCACACGCGGTGCAGATGATCCCCGGACTGGGTTAACATCCCTTGCAGCGGTTTTTGCCGGTTTCGCCCGAACGGTCCCAGGGGCCGATGGGATAATGTTGGAAGCAGCCGAATAATCGTCCGGTGCCCGGATGGATGTCTGGCGACCCACCGTGTTTTGGTTATTTGACGCTTCTAAGACTTCCCACGATGACGAGCCACCTAGGTTGGCGACGCTGGGCGACCTCCCCATTCTCGGCGTTGCGTTTCTGCCCCGCAGATTCGCTTGGAGTTCACCATCGCCGTGCTGGGCCTCTACGACAGAATTCAGTCGGTAAGAGAGCGGGCGGGCGGGCGGGCGGGCGGGCGGTCGGTCGGTCGGTGGCGGACGCGTCTGCACGCACGTACGTCTGCTGAAGGTGGCGCGGAAGGACAACAAATGAAACAACAACAACAATAACAACAAGCAGTTCTAAAGAAATGAGTTTGTCAATCTAGATCAGGGGGCGGGGAACCTTTTTTTCTGTTAAGGGCCACTTGGATATTTATAAAACATCATTCGTGGGCCATACAAAATTAACAACTCAAAAATTGAATTTCGATTTAAAGCTTTCGTGACTGCAAGGATTCATCTTTTATAAAACATCATTCGTGGGCCATACAAAATGAACAACTCAAAAATTTAATTTCGATTTAAAGCTTTCGTGACCGCAAGGATTCATCTTCTTTGGTTCTTTCGGTAAAGTCACCACCACGTAGAATGAGAATAAAATAATAACTTAATAAAATAAAATAACACAATAAAATTCTCACGACGTTTCGGCCACAACACAAGTGGCCACTACGTGACTCTACCGAAAGAACCAAAGAAGATCAACTTAAAAATTAGCCCGTTATATTTGTGTCAAACATTTTAATTAACTCGCCCCCTTAATGCGATGGGCTGGAACTGGTTCTCTTTGGCGCGGCGTAGTAGCAGTGATGATGATGTTAGCTGGCTATTGACGATGCTATTGCTACTCGCGACTGCTTTTCCAGGTTTGCTCTACCTAGATTTGTTGAATTCCGAGTCCCCGCCCGCGGTTGCCTTGGCAGGGCCACGCCAAATGATTTCGGACGTTCCCCACCCCTGATTTCGAGATGATGATTTCAAAGCGCGTAGTTCCAGTGGCTTCCTAACTCGCGTCTGCCGAACGTCTTTTAGCACCGTGCCTAAACCCTGAAAACGGCGTCAACAGCAGCCCCTGTAACCGCCGGTACGACCTCTCTCTCTCTCTCTCTCCCCCCTGTGTTCCGGCGTGAAACCTCACCCCCGCCACCACCCCACCCACCGCCCGCAGTGTGACATGCAGGAGGCTCTGGAAGCCGTGGAGCGCACGCGAGCGTTCGTGGCCCTCAAGGAGAGCTCCGTTCAGCTGGAGAGGCACCAGCGGCTCACCGTGTACCTCCTGCTCTGCTACACGTGTACGTCGCTGGGTCTTCTTCCTCCTCCTCCTCCGCCTCCTCCTCCTCCTCCTCCTCCTCCGCCTCCTCTGCCTCCTCCTCCTCCTCCGGCTCCTCCTCCGCGCGTTTGTCCCGCTCACGTGGAGGTCCTCGGCGGTCACTTGCCCTTAACCGCCGCACACCGCCCTTCCTCTTGGTCGCTCTCCTTCCGCCCGCGACAACTCGCCGCCTCGTCTGCCCCGTCATTTACCCCGTCTCGATGTGACGGCGCCCTGCAGCCAGACCCCGTTCTCGCTCTCTCTCGCTCTCTCTGTCTCGCTCCCATCTTCCCGGTGATTTCACTCCAGCGCTGTCCTACCAGACAGTCTCGTCCCTTCACCTGACGAAGGCCGCTCGTGTTGTGGCCGAAACGCCGCGAGAATTTTTATTGTGTTCTTTTATTTTGTCAGTTTTATTGTTTTGTTCTCATTCTCCGCGGTGACTTTACCGAAAGAACCGAAGAAGATTTCTGCCACCTCGAGTCTTCCGCTCACTCTTTCATTTGCTCACCACCCCCCCCCCCACCCCCCGTGTCCTTCCACGTTGAACCCAACATCCACCGCAACATCCTCATCGCTGTCACAGCCGGGTCCTCCCATCTTTTTTCTTGTGCCCCCGGCACTCGGCCCCCACACAACAGCGCCGGCCTCACCGCCGCCTTGTGCTATACGCTACGCTATACCCTACGCTATACACTACACACTTTTCCCTATGAACCGCACTGGGGTGGGACCCCCTCTTATTTGCACACCACACCAGTCGTCTCTCGCCACGTCGTCGCCGATTTATTTTGTAAACTTTTTACCGGGTAAGGCTTGCTTTTTTTTTCCTTTCCTGTCAGAAGCGTCCCTGCCATCACGAACGAGCCAAATAGCATTCTGATGAAATGCGCGACACGTGGATTCGAAATGTCAAGGGGTGTAGGCGGAAAACGGAGGACCCGGACGAAAAATCCAAGCCACCACGGGGAGAGGGAGAGAGAGAGAGAGAGGGAGACGCGCAAACTCCAGATATATACGGGAGGCGTCGGGGTCTGGGATCGAAGCCACGATTTCCTGTATACCAGGCGAGGGAGTTAACATCTCACCACTGTGACGTCTCAATTTTAACCCAGCTGGAGAACGCTGCAGGCTAGTGGGATGGGTCTCGGCTTGCGAGAGTTGAGGTGGGTTGAGGAGTGGGTGGCTGGGTGGGTTGAGTGAGATCGTTGAGTGAATGGGTGAGTGCGATGGTGGGCTAGAGAAGAGATGGGGTGACGTGGTACAGGAGGACGCGGAGCTGAGTGGACTTGCCGATGACCGGCACCAGCGGTGTCAAGATCGGCCTCTGTGGAGGAGGCTCGTGAAGGACGCTACTGGGCAGTTGGAGGCAGTCGCCCTCCAACAACAACGGAGGGCGGAGGAGCGACGCTCGCAACAACGAGCGGGGAGCGTAGGGTGGCTAAAGCACAGAAAGTTGGCACAGTAGTGGGGCACAGGTGGCGCGTCGGCCATCCATCTCAGTCAGTCGACCCGTGGCACCTGGGTCTGCCCCCGTGACCTCCTGCCAGCGGGCGTTCGACACTTCACGTGGCCTCAACGTGCACACGGCCTGGCACAAGCGTCGTGGTGACGTCGCCGCCACTTAGTGGCGAATGGCGGTTGTTGTGTGTGTGTGTATGCGTGGCGTGCGTGTGTGTGGTGGTGTGAGTGTGTGTGGTGGTGTGTGTGTAGTGGCGGTTGTTGTTGTTGTGTGTGTGTGTGGTGTGAGTGTGTGGTGGTGTGAGTGTGTGTGGTGGTGTGTGTGTAGTGGCGGTTGTTGTTGTGTGTGTGTGTATGTGTGGTGTGTGTGTGGTGGTGTGAGTGTGTGTGGTGGTGTGTGTGTAGTGGCGGTTGTTGTGTGTGTGTGTATGTGTGGTGTGTGTGTGTGGTGGTGTGAGTGTGTGTGGTGGTGTGTGTGTAGTGGCGGTTGTTGTTAAGGCCACAACGTGTGTGTGGGACCGTTGTCTGTGCGTTGCTTGCAGATGGAAGGATGTTGAAGTTTCTCTTCTTCAAGGGAGTAAATCTGTTCAAGGAGTTTGAGTATCGCTGCAGCCAGCAGGATCAGGTGAGCACGTCTTCTGCGGCGTGGGGGGGGGGGGTGGGTGGGGTGGTGGTGGCGAGTGGGGGGCTGTCATGACCATACTTCACCGCTCTGGTCAGCGCGGTTATGGCGGTGGGGAGCGGCGGCAGCGGCGGTTCGTTCGCTCGCGCGACGAAACCCGGCGGCCCGAGTTTCGATTTCCCCCACGCGCGCATCACGTGTTGGTCGCGAAAGCCTACCGGCCTTGGGTCTCCCCTAGGTCGACTCGGACTCAAACGAGTAACCCCCCCCCCCCCCCGGGCACATCGCCGCCGGGGAGACGGGAGGTGGCCGGGCGCGGCCGCGCCCGGCCTTCGTGGATGCTGGCGCCCGCTCACGGCACTTGCCCCCCAACCGGCTCCGCCGGTGCTATGTGGGGGGTCTTTGTCTTTACAGTTGGCTCTCCCTGAGAAGGAACGGGGGAATATGTTTTTTCGTGACGGGAAGTTCATGAACGCCATAGATTGCTACACAAACGGAATTTTAGTCAGGTAACGTTGCACGCACGCACGCACGCGCGCGTGTATACACGCACGCGTGTATACACGCACACTCATAAACACACTTATACACACGCACACGCTCACACGCTCACACGTACACACGTTCGCGTACACACACGTATACACACGCTCGCACACACACACACACACACTCGCGCACGTACACGTATACAAACACGTATGCGCACACGTACACACACACACACATTCGCACATATACGCACACGTACACACGCACACACATTCACGCACGTACACACGTACACACGCACACACACACACAACGTATACGCACACATACACACACACATTCACACACATACGCACACGTACACACATTCACACATATACGCACACGTACACACGCACACACATTCACGCACGTACACACGTACACACGCACACACGCACACACATACACAACGTATACGCACACATACACACACACATTCACACACATACGCACACACGTACACACATTCACACATATACGCACACACGTACACATGCACACACGTACACGTACACAACGTATACGCACACACGCGCGCACACACGTACACCCCCACCACCTTCACAGGTGCCGCTCGCTAACACGGCACTCGCCCCTCTCCCACCGCCACCGCAGTCGGTTGAGGCCACACGGGGGATCTTTGTCTTTGTCTCCCCTGCAGCCCATACAACCACATCCTGTACGGCAACCGAGCCATCTGCTTCATCCGCGTCAGAGACCACAGGTCAGCGTTGGCTGCTTGCCCCGTGCCCGTCACCACTGCTGCTTGCCTGCGCATCATTTGCTCCCGACGGACAGTCCACGGCCCTTGCCATTCCGCTGCTTGATGAAGGGCTGCCTGCCCGCCTGGGCTGCCTGCCCGTCCGACTGTTCGCCTGCGTGTGTACGTTGGGCTGCCCGCCAGCCAGCCTCTCTCGCGCCTGCCTGTCCGACTGTTCTCGTGCGTGCGTGTGTGCGTGCGTGTGTGCGCGTGGGGAGCGGTGGTGCAGCGGTTAGCGCTACGCTGCGCTACGAAGCCGGCGACCCGGGTTCGATTCCCGCTCACGGCCAACACCGCCGGTGACGATTATCCGAACCGGTCCTGGGCCTCCCCGAGGTCGACTCGGCCTCAAATGAGCACCTGGTGCAGCGGTGTGTAGTAGACATCGCCACTGGGGAGACAAAGGCGGCCGGGCGCGGTGCTGGCCACCCACCCCCTCGTGTGCCGTGCCGGCCTTCGTAGGTGCTCGCTCACAGCACTTGTCCCAAATGATGAAGGGCTACACGGGGGAATCTTTGTTTTGTGACTACCTCAATGTTTGTCTGCCTCATTGCTTGTCTGTCTGACTGTGTGTTGGTGTGGTCCGAGATTGTTGTTGGTTGTTGTTGTTTTGCTGCCTTGCCCTAGCCTGCATTTAGTATTGAAAGATCTGCAGGAATGTATCAACTTGACTTGCCTTTTCTCTTTTGCACTCCCATCGTTTTTGTATCTGTTGTTGTAAGTACGTTGAACTTCTTTCGCGCTGTACCTAGCCAACCGTGCCAGTCGGTGGGTGGGTGAGTGACTGTGTGAGTGGGTGAGTGACTGTGTGAGTGGGTGAGTGACTGTGTGAGTGGGTGAGTGACTGTGTGAGTGAGTGTGTGAGTGACTGTGTGAGTGGGTGAGTGACTGTGTGAGTGGGTGAGTGACTATGTGAGTGGGTGAGTGACTATGTGAGTGGGTGAGTGACTATGTGAGTGGGTGAGTGACTGTGTGAGTGACTGTGTGAGTGGGTGAGTGACTGTGTGAGTGGGTGAGTGACTGTGTGAGTGGGTGAGTGACTGTGAGTGGATGAGTGACTATGTGAGTGGGTGAGTGACTGTGTGAGTGTGTGAATGGGTGAGTGAGTGTGTGAATGGGTGAGTGACTGTGTGTGAATGGGTGAGTGACTGTGTGCGTGGGTGAGTGACTGTGTGAGTGAGTGAATGACTATGTGAGTGGGTGAGTGACTATGTGAGTGGATGAGAGACTGTGTGAGTGGGTGAGTGACTGTGTGAGTGGGTGAGTGACTGTGTGAGTGGGTGAGTGAGTGTGTGAGTGGGTGAGTGACTGTGAGTCTGTGTGTGTAAGTATGTACGTTGAACTTCTTTTGCACCACACGTAGCCAACCGTGCTAATCGGAGGTGCGCGGGCAGTAGGGCAACACAAACTAGGCAAAAGATAAGTTATAAAGAAACGAGTTTGTCAATGTAGATGGTGTAGTGTATAGTGTAGTGTACTAGTACAGCACTAGTGTGTAGTGTAGTGTATAGTGTAGTATACTAGTACAGCACTAGTGTGTAGTGTATAGTGTAGTATACTAGTACAGCAGTAGTGTATAGTGTAGCATACTAGTACAGCACTAGTGTGTAGTGTATAGTGTAGTATACTAGTATAGCACTAGTGTATAGTGTAGTATACTAGTATAGCAGTAGTGTATAGTGTAGTATGCTAGTACAGCACTAGTGTGTAGTGTAGTGTGTAGTATATAGTGTAGTATACTAGTACAGCACTAGTGTGTAGTGTAGTGTATAGTGTAGTATACTAGTACAGCATTAGTGTATAGTGTAGTGTATAGTGTAGTATACTAGTACAGCACTAGTCTGTAGTGTAGTGTATAGTGTAGTATACTAGTACAGCACAAGTGTATAGTGTAGTGTATAGTGTATTATACTAGTACAGCACTATTGTATAGTGTAGTGTATAGTGTAGTATACTAGTACAGCACTAGTGTATAGTGTAGTGTATAGTGTAGTATACTAGTACAGCACTAGTGTGTAGTGTATAGTGTAGTATACTAGTACAGCACTAGTGTGTAGTGTAGTGTATAGTGTAGTATACTAGTACAGCACAAGTGTATAGTGTAGTGTATAGTGTAGTATACTAGTACAGCACTAGTGTATAGTGTAGTGTATAGTGTAGTGTATAGCAGTGTAGTATATAGTGTAGTGTGTAGTGTAGTGTATAGTGTAGTATACTAGTACAGCACTAGTGTATAGTGTAGTGTATAGTATAGTGTATAGTGTAGTGTATAGTGTAGTATACTAGTACAGCACTAGTGTATAGTATAGTGTAGTGTGTAGTGTAGTGTATAGTGTAGTATACTAGTACAGCACTAGTGTATAGTGTAGTGTATAGTGTAGTATACTAGTACAGCACTAGTGTGTAGTGTATAGTGTAGTGTATAGTGTAGCACACCGGTTGTGTGTCGGAGAGCCAAGCCACGACATTTACAACCTGAGCACGACGTTTCGCCGCTAATTACAACCGGCTTCATCAGGCAACAGCCAGATCCGTTTCGCTCCTCACAGAGAGGCGTAGATGTGGTGGCCGTGCTTCTGTGCAAAGTGTGTGTGGGGGGCGGGTGGGGGGTGGGGGTTAACGACATATAACTTTAAGAGACCCAAAAGAAGTAATATTTCAATGAACTTTTTTCTAAACACACGCTTTAATGAAATGTGCCGTGCTAGTAATGCAAGAACGCCACCACGACTTCCAGGAAGTGGCCCCGAAGCTTGCCCACGACATAAAGCGGGACCGTGGCCAATCACAGCCAACGTCAGTTGAGCGTGGACAATCAGAGCCAAGCCGAAACATCTCTTAACATGTAAAAAAAAAAAATTACGTTTAAAATATTTTTTATGTTTTTAACGATAGAATATAGTTATCGTCACCGGTGTGACGTAAGCATACCGAGTTCGCGGTCGATACCGCATTGGGAAGTGGGTTAAGATTTGAAGATACAACAACAACAACAACAGACAGACAGCAGAGTGACTTAAATAAAATCGTGTAATAATAATAATGATACAAAAACAACCTCTATTACATTTTTTTGCTAAAGTTGAGGCTTAAAGGCCGCGATCTGAACGTGGCTTTTTTCACTCCAGCGCTGTCCTACCCAGACGGTCTCGTCCCTTCACCTGATGAAGGCCGCTTGTGTTGTGGCCGAAACGTCGTGAGAATATTATTGTGTTATTTTATTTTATCAATTTATTACTTCATTCTCATTCTACGCGGTGGTGACTTTACCGAAAGAACCAAAGAAGAGCCTCTGTTACGGATGATATTGGACGTGAGAGCTTGCCGCGTGTTAAACTGATATTCGGATTCTGCTTTGTCCGACTGTTTTGCCCGCCCCCGCTGTCTGACTGCGTGCGTCTGTCACCGTTTTCCCGGCCCTGCAGCAATGCGCTCTCCGACGCCAGGAAAGCCGTCGTGCTGAAGCCGGACTGGCCGAAGGTTCGTCGTGAGCCCCCCCCCAACTCGTGTTGACGGGCTAGAACCAGCCCCCCACCAACACTCGTGTTGATGGGCCAGAACCAGCCCCCCACCATTCATTGACGGGCTAGAACCAGCCCCCCACCAACACTCGTGTTGATGGGCCAGAACCAGTCCCCCACCATTCATTGACGGGCTAGAACCAGCCCCCCACCACCACTCGTGTTGATGGGCCAGAACCAGCCCCCCACTACCACTCGTATTGATGGGCCAGAACCAGCGCCCCCCACCATTCATTGACGGGCTAGAACCAGCCCCCCACCACCACTCGTGTTGATGGGCTAGAACCAGCCCCCCCCCCACCACAAAGCTCTGTGATCCCATGATTGGATGTTTTAAAAAAGAAGTCGGCCCGTGAGTTTGTTTTAACCGCGGGGACACCGGGGGACACCGGAGGACACCGGGGGACACCGGGGGACACCGGGGGACACCGGGGGACACCGGGGGACACCGGAGGACATCGGGGGACACCGGGGGACACCGGAGGACATCGGGGGACACCGGGGGACACCGGGGGACACCGGGGGACACCGGGGGACACCGGGGGACACCGGAGGACACCGGGGGACACCGGGGGACACCGGGGGACACCGCAGTGCCCTTGGAGAACCCACGGGTCCCAGGCGGTGGTGGTGGGGGTGGCGGCCGCGGGGGAGGGCAGCGCTCGGTCACCCAACAATCGCCCAAGCTCTGTCGGTCCTCTGTTTGGACGTTTGGAAAGCTGCACCACCACGCCCCAAGTTGTCACCCGGGTGGTACAGCGGGACACTCCCACGTGAACCTTGAACCTCACAGCCCGCCCCCCTCTACCCACAACCCCCTCTTCTACCCCACTCCCCCCACTTCCCACTTCCCATGCTGGACATCTGTGACAAAAGAGCTTTATAGCTCATCGGGATTCCTCCTGGAGTCTAAATAAAGATCCTGATTCCCGTCCTCCATCTCCCCCACCCACCCACCCACCTCCCCACGCCCCCCACCTTGATCCTGATTCCCGTCCTCCATCTCCCCCACCTCCCTCTCCCCACCCTCCCCCCACCACGTGCAGGCTCACTACCGCTACGTGGAGGCGGTGCTGGAGGTGTACGGGCTCCACGCGGCACTGCACGCCAACCAGCGCGGCGTGGACCTCTGTCGCCTGAGCGGGGAGAAGGTGGCCGACCTCGTCACCCAGGGCGACCGCCTCCGTGAGCAGCTCGCCACGCTCGCCGCACGGAGAGGTGCGGCACCAGGACACCACCGGCCTGGCGGCGGCGGTATGTGGTGGTGGTGGTGGCGGTATGTGGTGGTGGTGGTATGTGGTGGTGGTGGTGTGTGGTGGTGGTATGTGGTGGTGGCGGTATGTGGTGGTGGTGGTGGTGGTGGCGGTATGTGGTGGTGGTGGTGGCGGCAGTATGTGGTGGTGGTGGTATGTGGTGGTGGCAGTATGTGGTGGTGGTGGTGGCGGCAGTATGTGGTAGTGGTGGTATGTGGTGGTGGTGGCAGTATGTGGTGGTGGTGGCGGTATGTGGTGGTGGCGGTATGTGGTGGTGGTGGCGGCATTATGTGGTGGTTTCGGTGGTGGTGGTCATGGTCATGGTGGTGGTTTCGGTGGTGTTGGTGGTTGTTGTTGTCGCTGCTGCTGGCTGTGCGTGCGTGCATGCCGGTGTCTTTGTGTGTGTGTGCGTGTGTTTGTGTGCACCTAGGCTGGCGCGAGCAACGTTGTAGTGGTGGTGGTGTCCCAGCTGCTGCTGCCTGTGTGTGCGCGTATATCGATGTCTTTGTGTGTGTTTGTGTGCACCTAGCCTGGCGCGTGGTCGTGGTGGTTGTGGTGGTCGTGGTGGTCGTGGTGGTCGTGGTGGTCGTGGTGGCCGTGGTGGTTGTGGTGGTTGTGGTGGTCGTGGTGGCCGTGATTGTGTCCCCATTGTTGTTGTTTCTGGCTGTTCGTGCGTGTGTGTGTATCGGTATATTTCTGTGTGCGTCTGCGCGTGTGTGTATGTGTGTGTGTGTGGGGAGCGGTGGTGCAGCGGTTAGCGCTACGCTGCGCTACAAACCCGGCGACCCGGGTTCGATTCCCGCTCACGGCCAACACCGGTGACGATTATCTGAACCGTTCCTGGGCCTCCCCTAGGTCGACTCAGCCTCAAATGAGTACCTGGTGCGGTGTGTAGTAAACATCGCCACTGGGGAGACAAAGGCGGTCGGGCGTGGTGCTGGCCACCCTGGTCAACCTGCGTGTATCTGTACAGCTGTGTTCATCTGTACACACGTTAACCTGCCTGTATCTGTACAGCTGTGTTCATCTGTACACACGTTAACCTGCGTGTATCTGTATAGCTGTGTTCATCTGTACGCACGTTAACCTGCCTGTATCTGTACAGCTGTGTTCATCTGTACGCATGTTAACCTGCCTGTATCTGTACAGCTGTGTTCATCTGTACGCCCATTAACCTGTGTGTATCTGTATCGCTGTGTTCATCTGTACGCACGTTAACCTGCCTGTATCTGTATCGCTGTGTTCATCTGTACGCACGTTAACCTGCCTGTATCTGTATCGCTGTGTTCATCTGTACGCACGTTAACCTGCCTGTATCTGTATCGCTGTGTTCATCTGTACGCACGTTAACCTGCGTGTATCTGTACTGTTGTGTTCATCTGTATGCACGTTAACCTGCCTGTATCTCCGTGTCTCCCACAGCTCAAGAGACCAGCGCCAGCAACTTCTTGAACACGTTCAGCCGCAACCTGTGAGACACTCTCACTCCTCTCACTCCTCTCACTCCTCTCACTCACGTCTCTCCCCGTGTCTCCCCGTGTCTCCCCGTGTCTCCCCGTGTCTCCCCGTGTCTCCCCGTGTCTCCCCTTGTCTTCCCGTCTCTCCCTCTGTCTCCCCGTGTCTCGCCGTGTCTCCCCCAGTCTCCCCCGTGTCTCCCCCGTGTCTCCCCCTTGTCTCCCCGTGTCTCCCCGTGTCTCCCCGTGTCTCGCCGTGTCTCCCCGTGTCTCCCCGTGTCTCCCCCGTGTCTCCCCGTGTCTCCCCGCGTCTCCTTGTGTCTCCCCGTGTCTCCCCGCGTCTCCTTGTGTCTCCCCGTGTCTCCCCGTGTCTCGCCGTGTCTCCCTCAGTCTCCCCCTTGTCTCCCCGTGTCTCCCCGTGTCTCCCCGCGTCTCGCCGTGTCTCCCCCGTGTTTCCCCGTGTCTCCCCGTGTCTCCCCTTGTCTCCCCGCGTCTCCCCGTGTCTCCCCCGTGTCTCCCCACGTCTTCCCGTGTCTCCCTGTGTCTCCCCGTGTCTCCCCCGTGTCTCCCCGCGTCTTCCCGCGTCTCCCCCTTGTCTCCCCGTGTCTCCCCTTGTCTCCTTGTGTCTCCCCGTGTTTCCCCGTGTCTCCCCCTCGTCTCCCCGCGTCTCCTTGTGTCTCCCCGTGTCTTTCCGCGTCTCCTTGTGTCTCCCCGTGTCTCCCCGTGTCTCCCCGTGTATCTCCATGTGTCTCCCCGTGTCTCGCCGTGTCTCGCCGTGTCTCCCCGTGTCTCCCCGTGTATCCCCATGTGTCTCCCCGTGTCTCCCCCGCGTCTCCCCCGCGTCTCCCCGTGTCTCCCCGCGTCTCCCCGCGTCTCGCCGTGTATCCCCATGTGTCTCCCCGTGTCTCCCCCACGTCTCCCCGTGTCTCCCCGCGTCTCCCCGCGTCTCGCCGTGTGTCTCCCCGTGTCTCCTTGTGTCTCCCCGTGTATCCCCGTGTCTCCCCGTGTGTCTCCCCGTGTGTCTCCCCACATAAAACCGTCCCCCATGTGTCCCCGCGTGTCCCGATGTGCCTCCGCATCTCCGTGTCTCCCCGTGCGCCTCCCCTTGTATCACCGTGTCCCCCATGTGTCTCCCACCCCCCCCCCGTGCCCCCCCCCCCCGTGCCCCCCCAGCCGAGAGCGTGATGGCACGGTGGTAGTGGACGGTGAGCATGTCTGCGTCTCCGTCACCAGGAACGGCCGCGCCTCCACCAAGCGCCGGAGCAAACGCTCCACCACACAGACCTTCCAGAAGAAGGTGCACCATGGCTCGCTCGCACGCTCACCCACTCGCTCACTCACTCACTCGCATGCACACTCACTCGCTCACTCACTCACTCGCATGCACAATCACTCGCTCACTCACTCGTTCATTCACTCACTCACTCACTCGCTCGCTCACTCACTCGCACACTCACTGGCACACTCACTCACTCGCACACTCACTCACTCACTCGCACACTCACTCACTCACACACTCACTCACTCGCACACTCACTCACTCACTCGCACACTCACTCACTCACTCGCACACTCACTCACTCGCACGCTCACTCACTCGCACACTCACTCGCACACTCGCACGCTCACTCACTCGCACACTCACTCACTCGCACACTCACTCGCTCACTCACACACTCACTCACACACTCACTCACTCACTCGCTCACTCACTCACTCGCACGCTCACTCACACACTCGCACGCTCACTCACTCGCACGCTCACTCACACACTCGCACACTCACTCGCACACTCACTCACACACTCGCACGCTCACTCACTCGCACGCTCACTCACTCGCACACTCACTCACTCACTCGCTCGCACGCTCACTCGCTCACTCACTCGCTCGCACGCTCACTCACTCGCACACTCACTCACTCACTCGCTCACTCGCACACTCGCACACTCACTCGCACGCTCACTCACTCGCACGCTCACTCACTCGCACGCTCACTCACTCGCTCACACACTCATTCACTCGCACACACACTCACTCACTCACTCGCACACTCGCACACTTGCACACTCACTCGCACACTCACTCACTCGCACACTCACTCACTCGCACACTCGCTCACTCGCACACTCGCACGCTCACTCACTCACTCGCACATTCACTCACTCGCACGCTCACTCGCACACTCGCTCGCACACTCGCTCGTTCGCAGACTCGCTCGCACACTCGCTCGTTCACTCACTCACTCGCACACTCGCTTGCTCACTCGCTCGCTCGCTCACTCACTCACTCACCCACTCACTCACTCGCACTCACTCACTCACTCGCTCACTCACCCACTCACTCACTCACTCGCACTCACTCGCACACTAACTCACTCGCTCGCTCACTCACTCACTCACTTGCACACTCACTCACTCGCACACTCACTCGCACGCTCATTCACATGCTCATTCACTCACTCACTCACTCGCACGCTCATTCACTCGCACGCTCATTCACACGCTCATTCGCACGCTCGTTTGCTCACTCACTCACTCACTTGCACACTCGCTCGCTCACTCACTCGCTCACTCACTCGCTCACTCACTCATTCGCTCGTTCACACACTCACTCACTCGCACGCTCATTCGCACACTCGTTCGCTCATTCACTCACTCGCTCACTCGCACACTCACTCGCACGCTCATTCGCACACTCGTTCGCTCATTCACTCACTCGCTCACTCACACACTCATTCGCACGCTCATTCGCATGCTCATTCGCACGCTCGTTCGCTCACTCACTCACTCGCATGCTCGCACACTCACTCGCACACTCACTCGCACACTCACTCACTCGCACGCTCATTCACACACTCATTCACTTACTCGCACGCTCACTCACTCGCACACTCACCCATTCACTCACACACTCACTCGCACACTCACTCGCACACTCACACACTCACACTCACTAGCACACTAACACACTCACACTCACTCACTCGCACACTCACTCGCACACTCGCACACTCACTCGCACACTCACTCGCACACTCACACACTCGCACACTCACTCGCACACTCACACACTCACACACTCACTAGCACACTCACTCACTAGCACACTCACTCACTCGCACACTCACCCACTCACTCGCACACTCACACACTCACTCACTCGCACACTCACTCACTAGCACACTCACTCGGCACACTCGCACACTCACTCACTCGCACACACACTCACCCACTCAACTCGTGTTTCTGCAGGTGACCGTGGAGGTGCAGAGGGAGTTTGCGATGGGTGAGTGATGACGGAGTTGCCACGCTGGTTCAGGGGGGCGCTCACCCGAACACACAACCCGCTCGCTACGCCACCGGTTTCTTCAACCACTAACGCCGGCTTGCGTGCCTTGCGTGGCCCGCCCTGGGCATCCGCCGCCCCCGTCGATTCACGAGTTAATTCATCGAGACGTAGCGCTCCCGTACGAGGTCGCCGCGGCCTCCGCCTCTCTTGAGCGTGCCGTGGCTGCCGGCGGCGTTCCTGGGGGCGAGCGGGTCACTCTTGTCGCTCTTGTCGTCCGTCCGAATGCTTGCCGGCGCTTCTAAGAAGGCCTCGTGTTCGGAAACGCTTCTTCTTGGTCTTGATTCGAAGGCTTCGTGACTGCGGGAGTCCAAACTCTTAGCTTCATCCGCTCAAGTCACCACGTGGGTTGGAAATGCAATGAAAATGAATCGCAAGCAATCGTCATCGGGTGGGAAAGCCACGGCGAAGAAATTGTTGTTGTTGTTGAAGTGGGAGAGAGAGATGCCGTGGTAAGAGGTTATATCGGTAAGAGAGCGGTGGCTGGGGGGGGGGGACAAGGTGACGATCGCTTGCGTCGCGATGGAAACGTCGCGATTTGTTTAAACTTATTTTATATTTCTAACCCACGTGACTTTAACTAAAGAACCAAAGAGTTTTCTTCTTTGGTTCTTTCGGTAAAGTCACGTAGAATGAGAATAAAATAATAAATTGATAAAATAAAATAACACAATAATATTCTCACGACGTTTCGGCCACAACAGCGCTGTCCTACCAGACAGTCTCGCTCCCTTCACCTGATGAAGGCCGCTTGTGTTGTGGCTGAAACGTCGTGAGAATATTATTGTGTTATTTTATTTTATCAATTTATTATTTTATTCTCATTCTACGTGACTTTACCGAAAGAACCAAAGAAGATGAATCATTGCAGTCACGAAAGCTTTAAATCGAAATTTAACCAAAGAGTTTGCTTCTTTTTTTTTGATTGAAAGCTTTCGTGACTGCAGGGATTCATATTCGTGGTTCTTTCGGTAAAGTCACCACCACGTAGAAGGGGAAACAATAAAATAATAAAATATATGTAAAACAATACAATTCTCACGACGTTTTTCGATCGCAACACAAGAAGCAATCGTCATCAGGTGTGAAAAACACGGCAAGAAAATTAGAAGGAAAAAAAAACACCACTTTTTTCACATTTTTCCGCTGTGGTTTACTGATCTGTGTGTGACTGTGTGTGTGTTTACTGATCTGTGTGTGACTGTGTGTGGCTCGCTGTGTGTGTTTACTGATCTGTGTGTGACTGTGTGTGGCTCTCTGTGTGTGTGTTTACTGATCTGTGTGTGACTGTGTGTGGCTCTCTGTGTGTTTACTGATCTGTGTGTGAGTGTGCGTGGCTCTCTGTGTGTGTGTTTACTGAGCTGTGTGTGACTGTGTGTGGCTCTCTGTGTGTGTTTACTGATCTGTGTGTGACTGTGTGTGGCTCTGTGTGTGTGTGTTTACTGATCTGTGTGTGACTGTGTGTGGCTCTCTGTGTGTGTTTACTGATCTGTGTGTGACTGTGTGTGGCTCTGTGTGTGTGTGTTTACTGATCTGTGTGTGACTGTGTGTGGCTCTCTGTGTGTGTGTTTACTGATCTGTGTGTGACTGTGCGTGGCTACGAACCCGGCGACCCGGGTTGGTTTCCACGGTCAAGGCCGACACCAGCGACGATTATCCAAACCGGTCATGGGCCTCCCCTAGGTCGACTCGGCCTCGAATGAGTCCCTGGTGTAGCGGTGTGTCGTAAACATAGCCAATGGGGAGACAAAGGCGGCCGGGCGTGGTGCTGGTGTCACCCACCCCCTCGTGCGCCCTGCCGGCCTTCTGCCGGACACCTGTGAGAAAGAGCTTTATAGCTCATCGGATTCCTCCATTCTTTGTTCTGAATGTGTTATTTCTTTCTGATAGGCGCTTGCTCAGCAGCACTTGCCCTAAGAGCCCGCCCCAGGCTGCAACGGAGTGTCTCCGTCCGTACCTCTCGTGTTTTACCGAAACGGCACGTCGCCGTGCGAGTTGCCACGCCGTTCGGCCCGCCGCGTGACTGCTGCTGCGGTCACGTGACCTGCGTGTGACTCTCTCCCCCTCCTCCCCCCACACCCCCCTCTCTCCCCTCCCTCCCCACCACCACCACCACCACCCGGGGGAGCAGATGCGGAGTGCATCGCGCGCCTGTCGCGTCCTGTGCACGCGGACGCCAAGGCCAAGGCTCGCTCCACCACGCCCAACGACTCGCACTCGTCCGGCAAGGCCAAGCAGCGGCGGTCGCACACCGCCGACAGCACGCCGGCTCAGCCGAAACAACAGCAGCAGCAGCAGCAGCACAACCACAATCAGCAGCAGCAGCAGCAGAAGCAGCAGCAGCATCAGCAGCATCAGCAGCAGCAGCAGGTGGAGAATGAGTACCTCGTCCGTGTGTGGCGGTTAGCGGCGGCCCCGGTTCGATTCCCGCTCGCGCCGGTGTGGTGTGCGGTGTGCGGTGTGGTGTGTGGTGTGTGGTGTGGTGTGTGGTGTGGTGTGGTGTGTGGTGTGGTGTGTGGTGCAGTGTGTGGTGTGGTGTGTGGTGTGGTGCAGTGTGTGGTGTGTGGTGTGGTGCAGTGTGTGGTGCGGTGCGGTGTGCGGTGTGGTGTGTGGTGTGGTGTGGTGTGTGGTGCAGTGTGTGGTGTGAGGTGTGTGGTGCAGTGTGTGGCGTGTGGTGTGGTGTGCTGCGCGGTGCTGTGCGGCGCTGAACGGCGTGGGTGGCGCTGAACGCTGTGGGTGGTGATGAACACCGTGGGTGGCGCTGAACGGCGTGGCACTGTGGTGCTGCGTGGCGCGTTGGTGTGGTGTGGTGAGGTTCCGCGCGGTGTGGTGTGGTGTGGTGTCGCGCGGTGTGGTGTGGTGAGGTTCCGCGCGGTGTGGCGTGGTGGGGTGCCGCGCGGTGTGGTGTACGGGGGCGCTGTGCAGTGCACGGCGCGGCGGTGCTGCAAGCTGTGGCGTTGTGCCGTTCGCCGAGCTGTGTAACCGCGCGTTGCTCCACCAACCCCGCCCCCCACCCCCCACCGCTTCAGACGCACGCAAGCGGAGCTACTTTGAACGGCGGCAGTCCCAGCAAGCGCGGCGGCGGTCGCCACAAAGGCGGCAGCGGCGGCGGCGGTTCCGGCGGCGGTTCCGGCGGCGGCGGTTCCGGCGGCGGTTCCGGCGGCACCGGACTCTCCGCGGCCGAGCGGTCCCAGTGGCAGGAGCTGCGCGAATCCCTGGAGCTGGGACACACGGCGCTGAACCAGGGCCGGAGCCATCAAGCCGTGAGGCAGCTCTCCCTCTCGCTGCGCGTGCTCGCCGGAGCTCAGATCCAGGTGGGAGCGAGCGAGCGAGCGAGCGAGCGAGCGGGGAGGTTGTGGGTGGAGGTGGGAGAGAGGGGGAGGGAGAGGTGGGAGGCTGGAGGGGAGATAGGGGAGAGAGAGATGGGGAGGGGGGGGGAGGAGAGAGGAGATAGGGGAGAGAGAGATGGGGAAAGAGAGGGAGAGACAGAGATGGAGGGAGGGTGGAGGGGAGATAGGGGAGAGAGAGATGGGAGGGGGAGATGGAGAGAGGAGAGATGGGGTGGGAGGGTGGAGGGGAGATGGGGGAGAGAGAGATGGGGAAAGAGAGGGAGAGACAGAGATGGAGGGAGGGTGGAGGGGAGATAGGGGAGAGGGAGATGGGGGGGGAGGAGAGATGGGGTGGGAGGGTCGAGGGGAGATGGGGGAGAGAGAGATGGGGAAAGAGAGGGAGAGACAGACAGAAAGAGGGAGGGTGGAGGGGAGATAGGGGAGAGGGAGATGAGAGGGGGGGAGATGGATAGGAGATGGAGAGGGGTGGGAGGGTGAAGGGGAGAGAGTCTGGAGAGAGAGAGAGGGGGGTGTAAGTGGGAGAGAGATTATACAGAGGGGAAAGACGAGCTTATTTATCATAATTATAATGAATTAGTCTTGTTTATACAATGTCTGTGCTGTACAACGTCCTCCCTCTCAATGCAGTGCACCGGCTGCTGTATCGGCCCTTTGGCCGGATCGCCATGGAAAGGAGAACTTCATATCTGTAGCGGCCTCACCCCACGTAGACTGACTGCGTGTCGCAGTGTCATATTGTCGCAGTGTAGTACTGTTACAGTGTAGTGCTGTTGCAGTGCAGTACTGTTGCAGTGTAGTACTGTTACAGTGTAGTGCTGTTGCAGTGTAGTACTGGTGCAGTGTAGTACTGTTACAGTGTAGTATTGTTGCAGTGTAGTATTGTTGTAGTGTAGTACTGTTGCAGTGTAGTATTGATGCAGTGTAGTACTGTTACAGTGTAGTGCTGTTACAGTGTAGTGCTGTTACAGTGTAGTACTGTTGCAGTGTAGTACTGTTACAGTGTAGTACTGTTACAGTGTAGTACTGTTGCAGTGTAGTGCTGTTACAGTGTAGTGCTGTTGCAGTGTAGTACTGTTACAGTGTAGTGCTGTTACAGTGTAGTACTGTTACAGTGTAGTACTGGTGCAGTGTAGTACTGTTACAGTGTAGTATTGATGCAGTGTAGTACTGTTACAGTGTAGTGCTGTTACAGTGTAGTACTGGTGCAGTATAGTACTGTTACAGTGTAGTGCTGTTACAGTGTAGTACTGTTGCAGTGTAGTGCTGTTACATTGTAGTACTGTTGCAGTGTAGTGCTGTTACAGTGTAGTACTGTTACAGTGTAGTGCTGTTACAGTGTAGTGCTGTTGCAGTGTAGTACTGTTACAGTGTAGTACTGTTACAGTGTAGTACTGTTGCAGTGTAGTGCTGTTACAGTGTAGTGCTGTTGCAGTGTAGTACTGTTACAGTGTAGTGCTGTTACAGTGTAGTACTGTTACAGTGTAGTGCTGTTACAGTGTAGTGCTGTTACAGTGTAGTACTGTTGCAGTGTAGTACTGTTACAGTGTAGTTTTGTTACAGTGTAGTACTGTTGCAGTGTAGTGCTGTTACAGTGTAGTATTGTTACAGTGTAGTATTGTTGCAGTGTAGTACTGTTACAGTGTAGTACTGTTACAGTCGTACTGTTACAGTGCTGTACTGTTACAGTGTAGTACTGTTACAGTGTAGTACTATTACAGTGTAGTACTATTACAGTGTAGTACTGTTACAGTGTAGTACTATTACAGTGTAGTACTATTACAGTGTAGTACTGGTGCAGTGTAGTATTGTTACAGTGTAGTACTGTTACAGTGTAGTACTGTTGCAGTGTAGTACTGTTACAGTGTAGTGCTGTTACAGTGTAGTACTGTGACAGTGTAGTACTGTTACAGTGTAGTACCGTTGCAGTGTAGTGCTGTTACAGTGTAGTACTGTTGCAGTGTAGCACTGTTACAGTGTAGTACTGTTACAGTGTAGTGCTGTTGCAGTGTAGTACTGTTGCAGTGTAGTACCATTACAGTGTAGTACTGTTACAGTATAGTACTGTTACAGTGTATTACTGTTGCAGTGTAGTACTGTTACAGTGTTGTACTGGTGCAGTGTAGTATTGTTACAGTGTAGTACTGTTACAGTGTAGTACTGGTGCAGTGTTGTACTGTTACAGTGTAGTACTGTTACAGTGTTGTACTGGTGCAGTGTAGTATTGTTACAGTGTAGTACTGTTGCAGTGTAGTACCATTACAGTGTAGTACTGTTACAGTGTAGTACTGTTACAGTGTAGTACTGTTGCAGTGTAGTACTGTTGCAGTGTAGTACTGTTGCAGTGTAGTACCGTTACAGTGTAGTACTGTTACAGTGTAGTACTGTTACAGTGTAGTATTGGTGCAGTGTAGTACCGTTACAGTGTAGTACTGTTGAAGTGTAGTACTGTTGCAGTGTAGTACTATTGCAGGGTCAACAGCGGTTTGCTCTTTGGAGACACTCTTCCGTGCCATAGGAATGTGGAATTTCCACCGCCTGGCTCTGCAGGGCCGCTGTTAAACCAAGCGGAGTGTTCATTGGGTGAAGTCTTCTCGTGTCGATTACAACCCCTGCCTCTGTACTACCCACCCCCCCCTCCCCGTTCAGAAGTTCAACCTGACCCTTGTGGACTTGGTGGTCGTGACGTACAAATACGGCAGTGCCCTGGTGGACACCAGCAACCTTGAGGTACGGGCGACACCTTTTCCCCGTGCGGGTGTTGAACTGCTTTTTCACCTCTCTGGCAACTTTCGGTAAAGTTGCGTAGAACGAGGAAATAATCGATTAAAATAACGGCGTACGACGTTGCGATTGCAACGCAGGCAATCGAAACGTCGGCATCATCATCGTCATCGTCATCAGGTACAAATGAAAGGGAAAACAAACCTAGTAAACTTAGTTATACCAGTAAAGCACCTTGGGTTGCGAGGAGCATAATTAGTTCCGGAAACGTGTTTGTAATCCAAAGCACTCGTATATCAAAGTACAACGTACATCAGTTGTGATCACGTGACGCCCGGCAGTGCAGAGCGTGTACACGTACTACTACTCGTATTGCAAGACCCTCGCTCGTTTATCAAATTGTTTTTTTAAATAGTGTAGTGTATAGTGTAGTGTATAGTGTGGTATACTAGTACAGCACTAGTGTATAGTGTTGTGTATAGTGTAGTGTATAGTGTAGTGTATAGTGTAGTATACTAGTACAGCACTAGTGTATAGTGTAGTGTATAATAGTGTAGTGTATAGTGTAGTATACTAGTACAGTACTAGTGTATAGTGTAGTGTATAGTGTGGTATACTAGTACAGCACTTGTGTATAGTGTAGTGTATAGTGCAGTATACTAGTACAGCACTAGTGTATAGTGTAGTGTATAGTGTAGTATACTGGTACAGCACTAGTGTATAGTGTAGTGTGTAGTGTAGTATACTAGTACAGCACTAGTGTGTAGTGTAGTGTATAGTGTAGTGTATAGTGTAGTATACTAGTACAGCACTAGTGTGTAGTGTAGTGTATAGTGTAGTATACTAGTACAGCACTAGTGTATAGTGTAGTGTATAGTGTAGTATACTAGTACAGCACTAGTGTATAGTAGTGTAGTGTATAGTGTAGTATACTAGTACAGCACTAGTGTATAGTAGTGTAGTGTATAGTGTAGTATTCTAGTACAGCACTAATTTGTAGTGTGTAGTGTATAGTGTAGTGTATAGTGTAGTGTATAGTGTAGCACACCGGTTGTATGTCGGAGAGCAAAGCCACAACATTTACAACCTGAGTACGACGTTTCGCCAGTAATTACAACCGGCTTCATCAGGCGACAGCCAGATTTGCGGAGAAGTCCACCCTTAATTGCAGTAGAGCGCCTCCCGGTTAGCACGGTTGGCTACGTTATGGTCCGAAAGAAGTTCTTTGTCTTTGGGTGGGTGGGTGGGTGGCTGAGTGGGTGAGTGGGTGGCTGAGTGGCTGAGTGGGTGGCTGAGTGGGTGGCTGAGTGGGTGGCTGAGTGGGTGGCTGAGTGGGTGGGTGGGTGACTGAGTGGGTGAGTGGGTGGGTGGGTGGCTGAGTGGGTGAGTGAGTGAGTGGCTGAGTGGGTGAGTGGGTGAGTGGGTGGGTGGGTGGCTGAGTGGGTGAGTGAGTGAGTGGGTGGCTGAGTGGGTGAGTGGGTGGCTGAGTGGGTGAGTGGCTGAGTGAGTGGGTGGCTGAGTGGGTGACTGAGTGATGGGGCTTATGACACTGTGCAGCTGCTGTCAGACTGTGGAACAACTCTTTGTGCCTTTGGCAATAAGACAATCGGAGTCGTTAGAGATGTTTACATCCTGTCTTGTGGGTGGTGGGTGAGTGTGCGGGTGGGGAGAGGGTGGTGTATCGGTTAGCGCTACGAACCCGAAGACCCAGGTTCGATTCCCGCTCACGGCCAACACCGGTGACGATTTTCGGAACCGGTCCTGGGCCCTCCCCTAGGTCGACTCAGCCTCAAATGAGTACCCGGTGCGATGTGTAAACATCGCCACTCGGGAGACAAAGGCGGCCGGGCGTGGTGCTGGCCACCCACCCCCTCGTGTGCCGTGCCGGCCTTCATAGGTGCTCGCTAGCAGCGCTTGCCCCTACAGTCTGCTAAGGCTACACGGGGGGATCTTTGTCTTTGTGTGGGTGAATTAGTGGGTGACTGAGTAAGGTAGTCGGTTAGTGATGGAACATATGGCAATGTAGCCCTAGACTATGGAACCATGCTCTGCCTTTTCTAACAAGAGAATCACAGTGGTGTGTTATTTATTCATGCTTTTATTTAACTCACTCTGTCTGTCGTTGTAGCTCAATGTTAACCCCACTTCCCAATGTGGTATCGACTTCAAACTTGGTATACTTATGTCATACTGATGACAATAACTATATTATATCATTACAAATAAAAAATAAAAAAATTTCAACGTTATTTTTTATATGTTAGATGTTTCGGTTTGGGTCTAATTGTCCACGCTCAACTCACGTTGGCTGTGATTGGCCACGGTCCCCCTTACGTCGTGGTAAGCTTTGGGCCCACTTCCTGGAGTCGTGGTGGAGTTCTTACATTACTAGTACGGTACATTTCATTAAAGCGTGTTTTTAAAATGTTTTTTTTAAATATCACATATTAAGTGTGTGTCTTTAAATTGGGCCTTCACCCACCCGCCTAGTTGTGGCTGTTTACCCGGCAGGTTCTGGGTGGGTGAGTGAGTGCGTGGGTAATTGGTTCACCGAGTGAGTGGATGAGCGAGTCGGTGAGTGAGTTGGTGAGCGGATGAGTGAGTGGGTGTGTGGGTGGGTGAGTGGATGAGTAAGTGAGTGGGTGGGTAGCTGAGTGAGTGAGTCGATGAGCGAGTCGGTGAGTGAGTGGATGAGCGGATGAGTGAGTGGGTGTGTGGGTGGGTGAGTGGATGAGTTAGTGAGTGGGTGGGTAGCTGAGTGAGTGAGTGGATGAGCGAGTCGGTGAGTGAGTGGATGAGTGGGTGAGCGGATGAATGAGTGGGTGTGTGGGTGGGTGAGTGGATGAGTAAGTGAGTGGGTGGGTAGCTGAGTGAGCGAGTGAGTGGATGAGCGAGTGGGCGAGTGGATGAGTGAGCGGGTGAGTGAGTAAATTGACCTTTACCCCCCACAAGTTATGCCCGTGTACCCAGCCGGTTCTGTTTAATCCCTGGCTCTCCTTACACGGCGCATCGGTGCGATCTACGGCTGGCTGGACCGTCAATATTATTATTATTCCCTCCGCCGTGACCCCGTGACCCCTGTGGTGCCGCCCCCCCCGCCACCAGGAGCTGCAGGAGGCTGAGTCGTGCTTCTTGAACATCATCGAGGCCTACCAGGCGGCACGCTGCAACAGCCTCGCCTACTACGGCCTGGGCCGTGTCTACGTGCGGCAGAACCGGTGAGCGCCGTAACCCTGGATGGCGGGGATCTGGCTCTCTCCCTCTGTGCGTCGTGAGCGTTGGGCGAGCGTTGGGTGAGCGTTGGGTGAGCGTTGGGGGTGAGCGTTGGGCGAGCGTTGGGTGAGCGTTGGGTGAGCCTTGGGGGTGAGCGTTGGGCGAGCGTTGGGTGAGCGTTGGGCGAGCGTTGGGTGAGCGTTGGGCGAGCCTTGGGGGCGAGCGTTGGGCGAGCGTTGGGCGAGCGTTGGGCGAGCGTTGGGTGAGCGTTGGGGGCGAGTGTTGGGCGAGTGTTGGGTGAGCGTTGGGCGAGCGTTGGGTGAGCGTTGGGTGAGCCTTCGGGGTGAGCGTTGGGCGAGCCTTGGGCGAGCATTGGGTGAGCGTTGGGTGAGCGTTTGGCGAGCCTTTGGTGAGCCTTGGGCGAGCGTTGGGTGAGCCTTGGGGGTGAGCCTTGGGTGAGCCTTGGGTGAGCGTTGGGCGAGCCTTTGGTGAGCCTTGGGGGTGAGCGTTGGGTGAGCCTTGGGTGAGCCTTGGGTGAGCCTTGGGTGAGCCTTGGGGGCCAGCCTTGGGTGAGCCTTGGGTGAGCCTTGGGGGCGTTCGTTGGGTGAGCGCACGAGGCCGCGTTGGCCGGGTCACGCAACCCTGGCCAGGCCACGCAACCCTGGCCGGGCCACGCCAACCCTGGCCAGGCCACGCAACTCCGCACGCCCATCCACGGCGTCTCGTCCCCCGAGCGGCTTCTGTTCGCCCGAGTGGAAGGGCAGCCAAACGGGCACGGCACGGGCTGCAGAAGAGACGGGCTCACGTGCGAGAGCTCGGTGGGGGCTAGCGGCACGAGTTGGGTGAGCGGCGCGGTGCTCGCAGAAGGGGGGCATGGGTTTCCCGACGCTGCGGAGGCCAGGAGAGACGTGGAGCCGAGCGGACTCGCGAGATGAGCGGTACCGGTGGCAAGGTCGCCCTCCCAACAACAGCGGAGAGGCGTGGGAGGGTGGCGGGGGAGCGAGCGAGCGAGCGGAGCGGAGCGTGCCGGGCGGATTGCAACGCCGACGGTCGGACTGCTCCGTGAGCTCCTTTGCCGGCGGCGAGCTTTCCGACGCCACCTGCCCGGCGCCCGGTGGTGGCGCGCCGAGACGTCGCGCGACCGGGGAGCGGAGGTTTTGGAATGGCGCCCGCAGGTTCCAGGCGGCGCTGGCGCCGCTGAGCAAGGCGCTGACGATGGTGCGGCAGGACATGGTGCCGGCGCTGCTGTGCTGGCCGTACAGCGCCAGCGAGGTGGACGAGACGAGGCCCGGCCGCCTGGCGGTGAGTGGGTGTGGGTGGGTGGGTGTGTGGGTGGGTAGGTGTGTGGGTGTTGGTGGGTGGGTGGGGGTGTTGGTGGGTGGGTGGGGGTGTTGGTGGGTGGGTGGGGGTGTTGGTGGGTGGGTGGGTGGGTGTGTGGGTGTGTGGGTGCGTGGGTGGGGGTGTTGGTGGGTGGGGGTGTAGGTGGGTGGGTGTGTAGGTGGGTGGGTGGGTGTGTAGGTGGGTGGGTGTGTAGGTGGGTGTGTGTGTAGGTGGGTGTGTGTGGGATGTGTGTGGGATGTATGTGGGTGTGTAGGTGGGTGGGTGTGTAGGTGGGTGGGTGTGTGGGTGGGTGGGTGTGTGGGTGGGTGGGCGTGTGTCGGTGGGCGTGTGTGTGGGTGGGTGTGTGGGTGTGTAGGTTGGTGGGTGTGTAGGTTGGTGGGTGTGTGGGTGTGTAGGTGGGTGGGTGTGTAGGTGGGTGGGTGTGTAGGTGGGTGGGTGTGTATGTGGGTGGGTGTGTAGGTGGGTGAGTGTGTGGGTGGGTGTGTAGGTGGGTGGGTGTGTAGGTGGGTGGGTGTGTAGGTGGGTGGGTGTGTAGGTGGGTGGGTGTGTAGGTGGGTGGGTGTGTAGGTGGGTGTGTAGGTTGGTGGGTGTGTGAGTGTGTGGGTGGGTTGGTGGGTGTGTAGGTGGGTGGGTGTGTAGGTGGGTGTGTGGGATGTGTGTGGGTGGGTGTGTACGTGGGTGGGTGTGTACGTGGGTGGGTGTGTAGGTGGGATGTGTGTGGGTGGGTGTGTAGGTGGGTGGGATGTGTGTGGGTGGGTGGGTGTGTGGGATGTGTAGGTGGGTGTGTGGGATATGTGTCGGTGTGTTGGTAAGTGTGTAGGTGGGTGTGTGGGATGTGTGTGGGTGTGTTGGTAAGTGTGTAGGTTTGTTTGTCGGTGTGTGGGGGTGTGTGTGTGGCCTCAAGGTGCACCTAGCCTGGCACAAGCGTCGTGGTGACGTCACAGCCACTTAGCGGCGAATAGCGGTTGTTGTTGTGTGTGGGTGTGTAGTGGGGGGGAGCGATAGTGTAGCGCTACGCTGCGCTATGAACCTGGCGACCCGGGTTCGATTCCCGCTCACGGCCAACACCAGTGACGATTATCTGAACCGGTCCCGGGCCTCCCCTAGGTCGACTCAGCCTTAAATGAGTACCTGGTGCGGTGTGTAAACATCGCCACTAGGGAGACAAAGGCGGTCGGGCGTGGTGCTGGCCACCCACCCCCTCGTAGTACCGTTCCGGCCTTCATAGGTGCTCGCTAACAGCACTTGCCCCTACAGTCTGTTAAGGCTACGCGGGGGATCTTTGTCTTTATCTTTGTAGTGGGGAGCGGTGGTGTAGCCGCTAGCGCTACGCTACGAACCTGGCGGACCCGCCTTCCATTCCCGCTCACGTCCAACACCGGTGGCGATTATCTGAACCCGTTCCCGGGCCCTCCCCTAGGTCGACTCGGCCTCGAACGAGTACGCCTGGTGTAGCGGTGCGTAGCAAACATCGACCACCGGGGAGAATAAAAGGCGGGGCCGGGCCGCGGCGCTTGGCCACCCACCCACCCCTCCTCTCGTGTGCCGTGCCGGGTAGCCTTCCGAGGGCGGCGCTGCCACTCGCTTGACAGCACTTGCCCCTTACAGTGTGTCGAGGCTACGCGGGGGGATCTTTGTCCCTTGCAGGCGCTGGTCGACGAGACGCTTCGCCTGTGCCGCTACCCTCCGAGCCCCGACGCCGTCTGCCGCTACGCCGGCTGCGAGGGCTTCTACAAGCTGAGCATCTACTTCACCGACCCCGACTTCAAGGTGTGCCCCCCCCCCCCCGCCCCCCCCCCGCCCCCCCCCCGCCCCCCCCGCCCCCCCCCCGCCCCCCACCTCGCCTTCCGCCCGCGAGCACGGGGGGGGGGGGTGGGGGGGTGGAGGCTCGCAGCTCCGTTGGGTTGCTCGGATTCTCTGACCTCCACGACCTTTCGTTCCCCCCCTCCCCTCCTCCCCCACCGTCCCCCCCCCCACCGTGTCCCCCCCACCTCCCCATCTCGAATTGACCACGTTCTGTTTACGTGACAACCCTTGCTGGTTGGTTGTGTCGGGTGGTGGCGGGGTTTAACGACACAACAACATTGATATATATATTTACGGGATCTAACCCAAAAAACAAAACCTCCATTGAGTCTTGTTAAGGCTACGGGGGGGGGGGGGGGGGTGGGGCCTCAGTGCACTCACCGTCACCACCACCGTCACCACCACCACCACCACCACCGTCACCACCACCACCACCACCACCGTCACCACCACCACCGTCACCACCACCACCGTCACCCCCACCATCATCACCACCACCGTCACCACCACCACCGTCACCACCACCGTCACCACCACAATCACCGTCACCACCACCACCGCCACCACCGCCGCCACCACCGCCAGTGACGATCACCCGTGCCCCGTTGCTGCCACCGCCGTGCATCACTTAGCCCCAGCAGCCTGTCAAGGCTGTCTCCGTGGTGGTGGTGGTGGCGGCGGTGGTGGCGGTGGTGGCGGTGGTGGCGGTGGCGGCGGTGGTGTTGGTGACGGTGGTGGTGGTGGTGGTGATGGTGGTGATGGTGGTGACGGTGGTGTTGGTGGTGGTGTTGGTGTTGGTGACGTGTTTGTGTTTGTGTCGTCGTGGTGGTGGTGGTGTTGGTGGTGATGGTGGTGGTGTTGGTGTTGGTGACGTGTTTGTGTTTGTGTCGTCGTGGTGGTGGTGGTGTTGGTGGTGATGGTGGTGGTGTTGGTGTTGGTGACGTGTTTGTGTTTGTGTCGTCGTGGTGGTGGTGGTGTTGGTGTTGGTGGTGTTGGTGTTGGTGACGTGTTTGTGTTTGTGTCGTCGTGGTGGTGGTGGTGTTGGTGTTGGTGGTGTTGGTGTTGGTGACGTGTTTGTGTTTGTGTCGTCGTGGTGGTGGTGGTGTTGGTGTTGGTGGTGTTGGTGTTGGTGACGTGTTTGTGTTTGTGTCGTCGTCATGGTGCCCAGGGCTTCGTGCGGCTCTGCTGCTCGCTGCGCTGCTGCGTGGAGTTCCACCCGGCCTGCTGGAAGAAACTGAAGGCGGCAGATTTTGCCGACGTCGGCGACAAGGTGGGGGGTGGGGGGGGGGCCGCCGGGGGTTGGTGGATCACGGTGGGATGGGAGGCGGGGCGGGGGTGGAAGCCTCGCGCACTTGTGTCTGTGTGTGTACCCCCGTGTGTCACCGTGTGTGTGTGTGTGTCTGTGTGTGTACCCCCGTGTGTCACCGTGTGCGTGTGTCTGTGTACCCGCACGTGTGCGTGTGTCACCGTGTGTGTGTGTGTATGTGTGTGTACCCGCACGTGTGCGTGTGTCACCGTGTGTGTGTGTACCCCCGTGTGTCACCGTGTGTGTGTGTGTGTGTCTGTATGCGGGGGGGAGCGGTGGTGTAGCGGTTAGCGCTACGCTGCGCTATGAACCTCACGACCCGGGTTCAATTCCCGCTCACGGCCAACACCGGTGACGATTATCTGAACCGGTCCTGGGCCTCCCCTGGGTCGACTCAGCCTCAAATGAGTACCTGGTTGCGATGTGTAAACATCGCCACTGGGGAGACAAAGGCGGCCGGGTGTGGTGCTGGCCACCCACCCCCTCGTGTGCCGTGCCGGCCTTCATAGATGGTGCTGCTGCTCGCTAACAGCACTTGCCCCTGCAGTCTGTCAAGGCCACACGGGAGATCTTTATCTTTGTGCGTGCGTGTACCCCGGCGTGTACGCAGGAGTTCCTGGGCCACTGCTGTCTCACCCCGGACTGCAGGGGCCGCATGCATAAAATCATCATCTTCGGTTCGGATGGCGTCATCAAATACGAGGTGACGCACGGGGGGGTGGGTTGTGGGTGTTGTGGGTTCAGCTCGGATTCAGGGTGGTGGTGAGAGCTGTGGGTGGTGATGACCGGCCAACCCATGGCACCTGGGGCCTGTAGCCGTGACCACCTCCTGCACCTAGCCTGGCACAGCAGAGACAGCCCATGGCACCTGGGGTCTGGCCCCGTGACCACCTCCTGCACCTAGCCTGGCACAGCAGAGACAACCCATGGCGCCTGGGGTCTGTACCCGTGACCACCTGCACCTAGCCTGGCACAGCAAACAACCCATGGCACCTGGGGCCTGTACCCGTGACCACCTCCTGCACCTAGCCTGGCACAGCAGAGACAGCCCATGGCACCTGGGGTCTGTACCCGTGACCACCTCCTGCACCTAGCCTGGCACAGCAGAGACAGCCCATGGCACCTGGGGTCTGTACCCGTGACTACCTCCTGCACCTAGCCTGGCACAGCAGAGACAACCCATGGTACCTGGGGTCTGGCCTCGTGACCACCTCCTGCACCTAGCCTGGCACAGCAGAGACAGCCCATGGCACCTGGGGCCTGTACCCGTGACCACCTCCTGCACCTAGCCTGGCACAGCAGAGACAACCCATGGCACCTGGGGTCTGGCCCCGTGACCACCTCCTGCACCTAGCCTGGCACAGCAGAGACAGCCCATGGCACCTGGGGTCTGTACCCGTGACCACCTCCTGCACCTAGCCTGGCACAGCAGAGACAACCCATGGTACCTGGGGTCTGTACCCGTGACCACCTCCTGCACCTAGCCTGGCACAGCAGAGACAGCCCATGGCACCTGGGGTCTGTACCCGTGACCACCTCCTGCACCTAGCCTGGCACAGCAGAGACAGCCCATGGCACCTGGGGTCTGTACCCGTGACCACCTCCTGCACCTAGCCTGGCACAGCAGAGACAACCCATGGCACCTGGGGTCTGTACCCGTGACTACCTCCTGCACCTAGCCTGGCACAGCAGAGACAACCCATGGCACCTGGGGTCTGTACCCGTGACTACCTCCTGCACCTAGCCTGGCACAGCAGAGACAACCCATGGCACCTGGAGTCTGTACCCGTGACCACCTCCTGCACCTAGCCTGGCACAGCAGAGACAGCCCATGGCACCTGGGGTCTGGCCCCGTGACCACCTCCTGCACCTAGCCTGGCACAGCAGAGACAGCCCATGGCACCTGGGGTCTGTACCCGTGACCACCTCCTGCACCTAGCCTGGCACAGCAAACAACCCCTGGCACCTGGGGTCTGTCCGCTGACCACCTCCTGCACCTAGCCTGGCACAGCAGAGACAACCCATGGCACCTGGGGCCTGTACCCGTGACCACCTCCTGCACCTAGCCTGGCACAGCCGGTAATTAAAACAACCAGCATCAGGCGGGCAGCCAGCGTTGGATAATATTGCTCGCGAAAGCCGTACGCCTTAGGTGCGTGCCTCCCCTAGGCTTTAAATGTGAGTCCGCTTTGCAAACATCAGCACTGGGGGGGGGGATGGGGGGGCAGACAAAGATTGGCCGGGCGTGGTGCTGGCCACCCACCCACCTCGTGTGCCGTGCCGGCCTTCCGTGTCGCTGCTGCTGCTGCTACTCGCTAACAGCACTTGCCCCAGGCAGTCTGTTTAAAGGCTACCCGGGTGCTCTTTGTCTTTGTAGTTTGAGGTGACCGTCGAGAGAGAGAGACCACCACAACGCCCGTGCATCAAGCAGCGAGCCATCAGGTGGGTGGTGGCGACGACGGTGACGGTGGTGGTGGTGGCGGTGGTGGTGGTGGCGGTGGTGGTGGTGACGGTGGTGGTGACGGTGGTGATGGTGACGGTGGTGGTGGTGGCGGTGGGGGCGGCGGTGGTGGTGGCGGTGGTGACGGTGGTGGTGACGGTGGTGATGGTGGTGGTGGTGATGGTGGCGGTGGTGGTGGTGGTGGTGGCGGTGACGGTGGTGGTGACGGTGGTGGCGGTGGTGGTGGTGGCGACGGTGGTGGCGGCGGTGGTGGCGACGGTGGTGGTGACGGTGGTGATGGTGACGGTGGTGGTGGTGGTGGCGGTGGTGGTGGCGGCGGTGGTGGTGGTGGCGGTGGTGGTGGCGGCGGTGGTGGCGGCGGTGGTGGTGTTGGTGGTGGCGGCGGTGATGGTGGTGGCGGCGACGGTGGTGGTGGCGGTGACGGTGGTGGTGGTGGTGACGGTGGTGGTGGTAACGGTGGTGGTGCCGGTGGTGATGGGGGTGGTGATATTGATGGTGGTGGTGATAATGATACTGATGGTGGTGTGGTGATCACGATCGTGGTGGTGTGGTGATCACGATCGTGGTGGTGATCGTGATGATGATCGTGGCGGTGATCGTGATGATGATCGTGGCGGTGATGATGACGGTGGGGATGGTGATGGTGGTTATAGCGATGGTGATGATGATGGTTGCGGTGACGATATCTTCGGCGGTGGCATTGCTGCTGGTGATGATGCCAACGATAACCGTGATTGCGGCGCTGCCAATAGAGGTCCTGATGGTGGTGGTGGTGGTGGTGATGGTGGCCGCGATGGTGGTTGTGATCGTGGTGCTGATCCTCCACCCCTCGCCCCCCCCACACCCAAACCTCAGTGCCCGCAAGCTGCATCGCAAGCTGGAGGTGAAGCAGCGCCGTGCGTGGCGCCGGCAGGAGGAGCGAGCGCGGCGCGCTGCCCAGCGCTCCGCCACCGCCGCCGGCGACGACGGTGCCGGTGCCGGCAGGGACACCGCGCGGGAGCAGCAGGGGGGGGCCAGGCTGGAGGGGGGGGCGGCCGCCCGTCAGCATGACCGTACGTAGCCACCGCTGCCGGCGACGGCGACGATGACGATGACGATGATGATAATAACACCACCTTATTCCTCCTTGGGTCTTTAGGTAAATTCGCTTCGATAGGTTCAAAGAAATAAGAAAAAACAAATAACACGAAAAATATCAAAGAAATCACAAGAAATACGGCAATTCGATCGCTTGTGCCGCGATCAAAAAAATAACTCGAAAAATATCAAAGAAATCACAAGAAATACGGCAATTCGATCGCTTGTGCCGCGATCAAAAAAATAACTCGAAAAATATCAAAGAAATCACAAGAAATACGGCAATTCGATCGCTTGTGCCGGGATCGAAACGTCGTAGTTTTTTCGTAAATTATTTTTTTGTTCCCCTTTTGTTATTTGCTTTGAGCCTATCTACGTGGTGACGTTGCCGAAAGACCCCGAAGAATACGAATTCCTGCATTCGCGAAAGCTTCACGTCAAGATTTAATAATGCCTTGCTAGGTATTGTAATGACTGCGGTGCGTTCACAGTTGTGGTTGTAGCCCTGTTGTTTGTAACGTTACAACCCCGGTGGCGGTTGCCTCCAGCCCCAGTTTTATCTTTGACAAAAGTGTTCACGCCGTTAGGAACGACAAAAAAAATAGCCTGCTTCAAGTGAGGCTGCTGCACTCAGAAGGGAACAGCGCGGAAGCGGATGTCACAGAGCTGCCTCTGAGACCCCATCTTGTCCTTCAAGTGACGCTCTGGCACACTCAGAATGTAACCCGTGGAAGCGGATATCCCAGAGCTGCCTCTGAGATCCCTTCTTGTCCTTCAAGTGACGCTCTGGCACACTCAGAACGGAACAGCACGGAAGCGGATATCACAGAGCTGCCTCTGAGACCCCATCTCGTTCTTCAAGTGACGCTCTGGCACACTCAGAACGGAACCCGTGGAAGCGGATATCACAGAGCTGCCTCTGAGACCCCATCTCGTTCTTCAAGTGACGCTCTGGCACACTCAGAACGGAACCCGTGGAAGCGGATATCACAGAGCTGCCTCTGAGACCCCATCTTGTCCTTCAAGTGACGCTCTGGCACACTCAGAACGGAACCCGTGGAAGCGGATATCACAGAGCTGCCTCTGAGATCCCATCTTGTCCTTCAAGTGACGTTCACTCAGAACGGAACCCGTGGAAGCGGATATCCCAGAGCTGCCTCTGAGACCCCTTCTTGTCCTTCAAGTGACGCTCTGGCATACTCAGAACGGAACCCGTGGAAGCGGATATCACAGAGCTGCCTCTGAGACCCCATCTCGTTCTTCAAGTGACGCTCTGGCACACTCAGAACGGAACCCGTGGAAGCGGATATCACAGAGCTGCCTCTGAGATCCCATCTTGTCCTTCAAGTGACGTTCACTCAGAACGGAACCCGTGGAAGCGGATATCACAGAGCTGCCTCTGAGACCCCACCTTGTTCAAGTGACGTTTACTCAGAACGGAACCCGTGGAAGCGGATATCACAGAGCTGCCTCTGAGACCCCATCTTGTCCTTCAAGTGACGCTCTGGCACACTCAGAACGGAACCCGTGGAAGCGGATATCACAGAGCTGCCTCTGAGATCCCATCTTGTCCTTCAAGTGACGTTCACTCAGAACGGAACCCGTGGAAGCGGATATCCCAGAGCTGCCTCTGAGACCCCTTCTTGTCCTTCAAGTGACGCTCTGGCATACTCAGAACGGAACTCGTGGAAGCGGATATCACAGAGCTGCCTCTGAGACCCCACCTTGTTCTTCAAGTGACGCTCTGGCACACTCAGAACGGAACAGCGTGGAAGCGGATATCACAGAGCTGCCTCTGAGACCCCATCTTGCTCTTCAAGTGACGCTCTGGCACACTCAGAACGGAACCCGTGGAAGCGGATATCACAGAGCTGCCTCTGAGATCCCTTCTTGTTCTTCAAGTGACGTTCACTCAGAACGGAACCCGTGGAAGCGGATATCACAGAGCTGCCTCTGAGATCCCTTCTTGTTCTTCAAGTGACGTTCACTCAGAACGGAACTCGTGGAAGCGGATATCACAGAGCTGCCTCTGAGACCCCATCTTACTCTTCAAGTGACGTTCACTCAGAACGGAACTCGTGGAAGCGGATATCACAGAGCTGCCCCTCCTACAAGTGAGACTCTTTCCACTCTCTTCATCTCTCGTCGCCTCCCAATCATCTCCCACCCTCATCTCCCCCCCCCCCCACCTCATCCGCCCGTCGTCATCACCGCCCCCCCCCCCCCCCCCTCTCTCCGCCCCCCCCCCCCCCCGACCCCGAGCAGCAGACGAGGCTCTGGACCACGTGGTGCGGCAGATCTCGTCCCAGCGCTCCCTCCTGCTGCGCTGCTTCTCCGGCTCGGGCCGGCGCCGTCTGCTGGGCCGTCGCCACGGCCTCCTGCGCTGCCTGGCGCTCCGCGGCGCCGTGGCCCCCGCGGAGCTCCGCGCCATCGCACCGCGGTTCACGCTGCCGCTAACCACGGCCACGGCCACGGCAGCCACGGCCACGGCGGCCACGGCCGCGGGCGCGGGACAACGCCGAGGCGACGGCGGCGACGACGGCGGCGGCCGCGACGAGGAGGAGGAGGAGGAGGATCCCTACGACGTGCAGGAGGACGAGGAGGATGTTGACGACGACGACGAGGAGGAGGAGGGGGAGGAGGAGGAGGATGATGAGGATGTCGTCGATGAGGATGGTGGCGAAGGTGGCGGCGAAGGTGAGACCCGGGTGGCGGGGGAAGGTCGCGCGGGGGGTTGAATGGAGGTGCGGTTGTGTGGTGGTGGTGGTGGTGGTGTGAGTGTGCGGTTGTGTGGTGGTGGTGGTGTGAGTGTGTGGTGGTGGTGGTGTGAGTGTGCGGTTGTGTGGTGGTGGTGTGATTGTGCGGTTGTGTGGTGGTGGTGTGAGTGTGTGGTGGTGGTGGTGGTGGTGTGATTGTGCGGTTGTGTGGTGGTGGTGTGAGTGTGTGGTGGTGGTGGTGGTGTGAGTGTGCGGTTGTGTGGTGGTGGTCTGAGTGTGTGGTTGTGTGGTGGTGGTAATGTGTGGTGGCGATGTGCGGTTGTGGTGGTGGCGGTGTGCGGTTGTGACGGTGGTGGCGATGTGCGGTTGTGACGGTGGTGGTAGTGGTGGTGTTGGCGGTGTGCGGTTGTGACGGTGGTGGTGGTGGTGGTGTTGGCGGTGTGCGGTTGTGACGGTGGTGGCGATGTGCGGTTGTGACGGTGGTGGTGTTGGTGTTGGCGGTGTGCGGTTGTGACGGTGGTGTTGGCGGTGTGCGGTTGTGGCGGTTGTGACGGTGGTGGTGGTGGTGGTGGTGTGACTGCAGGGGCAGCGGGGCGCCTGCTGTCCCTGTTCGTGACCGACAGCGACCGTGTCCGTGCACGCCGCTTCGTCTGGGCCCTCGCCTCCTGGTGCCGGCGCCGCCTGCACGCCGACACTCGCCTTGCCGGGTGGGCCACGTGGCTGGACAGCGCCGGTACGCCGACACACGGACACGCGGACACACGGATACACGGACACACGGACACACAGATACACGGACACGCGGACATACAGATACACGGACATGCGGATACACAGACACACAGATACACGGATACACGGACACACAGACACACAGATACACGGACACGCGGACACGCGGACACACGGACACACAGATACACAGACACACAGACACAGAGATACACAGATACACAGACACACGGACACACGGACACACGGACACACGGATACACGGACACGCGGATACACAGACACACGGACACACAGATACACGGACACACAGACACACAGACACACAAACACACAAACACACAGATACACAGACACTCAGACACACAGATACACAGACACACAGATACACAGACACACAAACACACAAACACACAGATACACAGACACTCAGACACACAGATACACAGACACACAGATACACGGACACACAGACACACGGACACACGGATACACGGACACACAGACACACGGACATGCGGATACACAGATACACAGACACTCAGACACACAGATACACAGATACACGGACACACAGACACACAGATACACGGACACACAGATACACAGACACACAGATACACAGACACTCAGACACACAGATACACAGACACACAGATACACGGACACACAGACACACGGACACACAGACACACAGACACACAGACACTCAGACACACAGATACACAGACACACAGATACACGGACACACAGACACACAGACACACGGACACACGGACACACAGATACACGGACACACAGACACACGGACATGCGGATACACAGACACACAGATACACAGACACTCAGACACACAGATACACAGACACACAGATACACGGACACACAGACACACAGATACACGGACATGCGGATACACGGACACACAGACACACAGATACACGGACATGCGGATACACGGACACGCAGATACACGGACACACAGACACACAGACACACGGACATGCGGATACACGGACACGCAGGGCACACGGACACACAGATACACAGACACACAGATACACAGATACACAGACACACAGACACACGGACACACAGATACACAGATACACGGACACACAGACACACAGACACACAGATACACAGACACACAGACACACGGACACACAGACACACAGACACACGGACACACAGGTACGCGGACACACGGACATGTGGATACACGGGCACGCAGGGCACACGGACACACAGATACACGGACACACAGACACACAGATACACGGACATGCAGATACACGGACACGCAGATACACGGACACACAGACACACAGACATGCGGATACACGGACACGCAGGGCACACGGACACACAGATACACAAATACACAGATACACAAACACAGATACACAGACACATGGATACACAGACACACAGACACACAGATACACGGACACACAGATACACAGACAAACACACAGATACACGGACACACAGGTACACGGACACAAAGGTACACGGACACACAGGTACACAGATACATGGACACACAGGTACATGGACACACAGACACACAGATACACAGACACACAGACACACAGATACACGGACACACGGACACACAGATACACTGAGTCATCCTCTATCTCCGAGTCACCCCCCCCCCGCCTCTCTCCGAGTCGTCCGCTGTCTCTGCACGAGAGCTAGCCAGCTCTGTGCGGTGGCGGTGGTTCACGAGTTGGCCTCGTCCCTTCATTCAAAGTCCACGCCGGGGGGGCGTGGGGGGTGATCCGTTGTCTCTGTGCCACAGGGCTCAAGGTGAGCAAGTCTTTCCTGCAGACGTACCAGGACCTGCTGGAGGCCGTGGACCTCTCACCCCTCCGGCATCACCTCACCAAGCGTAAGGTGAGCGACATTGTCATCGCCATAGCCGTCGTGTGTCACTTGTGTATTGATATCGATGCTACCCACCTCTATAGCTACCCACCCACTAATAACCACCCTGCCAGCCACCCATACCCACCTATACCCACGCACCCATACCCAGCTATACCCACCTATACCCACCCACCTATACCCACCTATACCCACCTATACCCATCCACCTATACCCATCCACCTATACCCACCTACCTATACCCACCCATACCCACCCACCCACGCATACCCACCTATACCCACCCACCTATACCCACCCACCTAAACCCAACCACCCCTACCCACCCATCTAAACCCACCCACCCATTCCCACCCACACCCACCCACCCAGCGCACGCGAGGCTCTAAACCCCGTCCGGGTCTCTCTCTCTCTCTCCCTCTCTCTCTCCGCGTCGCCTCCCTCCAGGTGTTGACGGCCGACGATTTGAAGCGACTGCTTCCCACGAGCGGCGCCGGCGCCGGCGCCGGCGGGGGTTGGCGCGGCGTCGTGCGCCTGCTGCTGGGCAAACCGGCAGAGGTGGCGCGGGAGTTCGTGTGGCTGCTGGCCGAGCGGTCGCCGCTCTTCCCGTCGCTGGGGCACGCGCTCGACACCTACTTTAGCATAATGGGTGCGTCGCAGTGCGGAGGCGGTACGCGCGCACGTGCGCTAGACACGTGTATAGAGACAGTGTATAGAGACGCGTTTAGAGACGTGTGTACGTGTGTTAAACACGTGTATAGAGACGTGTGTTAAACACGTGTATAGAGACGTGTGTTAAACACGTGTATAGAGACGTGTGTTAAACACGTGTATAGAGACGCGTGTACGTGTGTTAAACACGTACACGCGTCTCTATACGTGTGTTAAACACGTGTATAGAGACGTGTGTACGTGTGTTAAACACGTGTATAGAGACGTGTGTTAAACACGTGTATAGAGACGTGTGTTAAACACGTGTATAGAGACGCGTGTACGTGTGTTAAACACGTGTATAGAGATGCGTGTACGTGTGTTAAACACGTGTATAGAGACGCGTGTACACGCGCTAAACACGTGTATAGAGACGTGTGTACGTGTGTTAAACACGTGTATAGAGACGCGTGTACATGTGTTAAACACGTACACACGTCTCTATACGTGTGTTAAACACGTGTATAGAGACGCGTGTACGTGTGTTAAACACGTGTATAGAGACGCGTGTACGTGTGTTAAACACGTGTATAGAGACGTGTGTACGTGTGTTAAACACGTGTATAGAGACGCGTGTACATGTGTTAAACACGTGTATAGAGACTCGTGTACGTGTGTTAAACACGTACACGAGTCTCTATACGTGTGTTAAACACGTGTATAGAGACGCGTGTACGTGTGTTAAACACGTGTATAGAGACGTGTGTACGTGTGTTAAACACGTGTATAGAGACGCGTGTACGTGTGTTAAACACGTGTATGGAGACGTGTAAGTGTGTTAAACACGTGTATAGAGACGTGTGTACGTGTGTTAAACACGTGTATAGAGACGCGTGTACGTGTGTTAAACACGTGTATAGAGACGCGTGTACGTGTGTTAAACACGTGTATAGAGACGCGTGTACGTGTGTTAAACACGTGTACAGAGACGTGTGTACGTGTGTTAAACACGTGTATAGAGACGCGTGTACGTGTGTTAAACACGTGTACAGAGACGTGTGTACGTGTGTTAAACACGTGTATAGAGACGCGTGTACGTGTGTTAAACACGTGTATAGAGACGCGTGTACGTGTGTTAAACACGTGTATAGAGACGCGTGTACGTGTGTTAAACACGTGTATAGAGACGCGTGTACGTGTGTTAAACACGTGTATAGAGACGCGTGTATGTGTGTTAAATACGTGTATAGAGACGTGTGTACGTGTGTTAAACACGTGTATAGAGACGCCTGTACATGTGTTAAACACGTGTATAGAGACGCGTGTACGTGTGTTAAACACGTGTACAGAGACGCGTGTACGTGTGTTAAACACGTGTGTAGAGACGCGTGTACGTGTGTTAAACACGTGTATAGAGACGCGTGTACGTGTGTTAAACACGTGTATAGAGACGTGTATACGTGTGTTTAACACGTGTATAGAGACGTGTGTACGTGTGTTAAACACGTGTATAGAGACGCGTGTACGTGTGTTAAACACGTACACGCGTCTCTATACGTGTGTTAAACACGTGTATAGAGACGCGTGTACGTGTGTACGTGTGTTAAACACGTGTATAGAGACGCGTGTACGTGTGTTAAACACGTACACGCGTCTCTATACGTGTGTTAAACACGTGTATAGAGACGCGTGTACGTGTGTTAAACACGTGTATAGAGACGTGTGTTAAACACGTGTATAGAGACGCGTGTACATGTGTTAAACACGTACACGCGTCTCTATACGTGTGTTAAACACGTGTATAGAGACGCGTGTACATGTGTTAAACACGTGTATAGAGACGCGTGTACGTGTGTTAAACACGTACACGCGTCTCTATACGTGTGTTAAACATGTGTATAGAGACGCGTGTACGTGTGTTAAACACGTGTATAGAGACGCGTGTACATGTGTTAAACACGTGTATAGAGACGCGTGTACATGTGTTAAACACGTGTATAGAGACGCGTGTACGTGTGTTAAACACGTACACGCGTCTCTATACGTGTGTTAAACACGTGTATATAGACGCGTGTACGTGTGTACGTGTGTTAAACACGTGTATAGAGACGCGTGTACGTGTGTTAAACACGTGTATAGAGACGTGTGTTAAACACGTGTATAGAGACGCGTGTACATGTGTTAAACACGTACACGCGTCTCTATACGTGTGTTAAACACGTGTATAGAGACGCGTGTACATGTGTTAAACACGTGTATAGAGACGCGTGTACGTGTGTTAAACACGTGTATAGAGACGTGTGTACGTGTGTTAAACACGTGTATAGAGACGTGTGTACGTGTGTTAAACACGTGTATAGAGACGTGTGTACGTGTGTACATGTGTTAAACACGTGTATAGAGACGCGTGTACGTGTGTTAAACACGTGTATAGAGACGCGTGTACGTGTGTTAAACACGTGTATAGAGACGCGTGTACGTGTGTTAAACACGTGTATAGAGACGCGTGTACATGTGTTAAACACGTGTATAGAGACGCGTGTACGTGTGTTAAACACGTGTATAGAGACGCGTGTACATGTGTTAAACACGTGTATAGAGACGCGTGTACGTGTGTTAAACACGTGTATAGAAACGCGTGTACGTGTGTTAAACACGTGTATAGAGACGCGTGTACGTGTGTTAAACACGTGTATAGAGACGTGTGTACATGTGTTAAACACGTGTATAGAGACGCGTGTACGTGTGTTAAACACGTGTATAGAGACGCGTGTACATGTGTTAAACACGTGTATAGAGACGTGTGTACGTGTGTTAAACACGTGTATAGAGACGTGTGTACGTGTGTTAAACACGTGTATAGAGACGCGTGTACGTGTGTTAAACACGTACACGCGTCTCTATACGTGTGTTAAACACGTGTATAGAGACGTGTGTACGTGTGTTAAACACGTGTATAGAGACGCGTGTACGTGTGTTAAACACGTGTATAGAGACGTGTGTACGTGTGTTAAACACGTGTATAGAGACGTGTGTACGTGTGTTAAACACGTGTATAGAGACGTGTGTACGTGTGTTAAACACGTGTATAGAGACGCGTGTACGTGTGTTAAACACGTGTATAGAGACGTGTGTACGTGTGTTAAACACGTGTATAGAGACGTGTGTACGTGTGTACATGTGTTAAACACGTGTATAGAGACGTGTGTACGTGTGTTAAACACGTGTATAGAGACGTGTGTACGTGTGTTAAACACGTGTATAGAGACGTGTGTACGTGTGTACATGTGTTAAACACGTGTATAGAGACGCGTGTACGTGTGTTAAACACGTGTATAGAGACGCGTGTACGTGTGTTAAACACGTGTATAGAGACGCGTGTACGTGTGTTAAACACGTGTATAGAGACGCGTGTACGTGTGTTAAACACGTGTATAGAGACGCGTGTACGTGTGTTAAACACGTGTATAGAGACGCGTGTACGTGTGTTAAACACGTGTATAGAGACGCGTGTACGTGTGTTAAACACGTGTATAGAGATGCGTGTACGTGTGTTAAACACGTGTATAGAGACGCGTGTACGTGTGTTAAACACGTGTATAGAGACGTGTGTACATGTGTTAAACACGTGTATAGAGACGTGTGTACATGTGTTAAACACGTGTATAGAGACGTGTGTACGTGTGTTAAACACGTGTATAGAGACGTGTGTACGTGTGTTAAACACGTGTATAGAGACGCGTGTACGTGTGCTAAACACGTGTATAGAGACGCATGTACGTGCGGTAAACACGTGTATAGAGACGCGTGTACGTGTGTTAAACACGTGTATAGAGACGTGTGTACGTGTGTTAAACACGTGTATAGAGACGTGTGTACGTGTGTTAAACACGTGTATAGAGACGTGTGTACGTGTGTTAAACACGTATATAGAGACGCGTGTACGTGTGTTAAACACGTGTATAGAGACGTGTGTGCGTGTGTTAAACACGTGTATAGAGACGCGTGTACGTGTGTTAAACACGTGTATAGAGACGTGTGTACGTGTGTTAAACACGTGTATAGAGACGTGTGTACGTGTGTTAAACACGTGTATAGAGACGCGTGCAGGCAAAGATCGCCCGCATAGCCTCAACGGACTGTAGGGGCAAGTGGCGCTAGCGAGTAGCACCTATATCATTCAGTACACGCACGTGCGCTAAACACGCACACATACACACACACAGAGAGATGCGTGAAGACAAAGGTCACCCGCATAGCCTCACCCAGACTGTCGGGGCAAGTGCTGCTAGCGGGTAGCACCTGTCACCTATCAAGGCTGGCAAGGCACACGAGGGGCTGGGTGGCCAGCACCATGCCCCGCCCCCTTTATCTCCCCCTAGTAATGATGTTGACTCACTGTGCGTGTCTCCAAGTGTATCTTCATCCCCCTGTCTCTCTCTCCCCGTGTGTCTCTCTCTCCCCTTGTCTCTCTCTCTCTGTCTCTCAGTGTGTCTCTCTGTCTCTCCCTGTGTCTCTGTCTGTCTCTCCCTGTGTCTCTCTCTCCCTGTGTGTCTCCCCTTGTCTCTCGCTGTCTCTCCCCGTGTGTCTCTCTGTCTCTCCCTGTGTCTCTCTGTCCCTCCCCGTGTGTCTCTCTCTGTCTCTCCGTGTGTCTCTCTGTCTCTCCCTGTGTCTCTCTCTGTCTCTCCCTGTGTCTCTCTCTCCCTGTGTGTCTCTCTCCCCTTGTCTCTCGCTGTCTCTCCCCGTGTGTCTCTCTGTCTCTCCCTGTGTCTCTCTGTCCCTCCCCGTGTGTGTCTCTCTCTCCCCTTGTCTCTCTCTGTCTCTCCGTGTGTCTCTCTGTCTCTCCCTGTGTCTCTCTCTCTGTCTCTCCGTGTGTCTGTCTGTCTCTCTCCGTGTGTCTCTCTGTCTCTCTCTGTCTCTCTCTACCTGTGTCTCTCTGTCTCTCTCCCTGTGTCTCTCTGTCCCTCCCCGTGTCTCTCTCTCTCCCCTTGTCTCCTTCTGTCTCTCCGTGTGTCTCGCTGTCCCTCCCCGTGTGTCTCTCTCTCCCCGTGTCTCTCTCTGTCTCTCCCTGTGTCTCTCTGTCCCTCCCCGTGTCTCTCTGTCTCTCTCCCTGTGTCTCTCTGCCCCTCCCCGTGTCTCTATCCCCTTGTCTCTCTCTGTCTCTCCGTGTGTCTCTCTCTCTCTCCCCTTGTCTCTCTCTCCCCTTGTCTCTCTGTCTCTCCTTGTCTCTCTCTGTCTCTCCGTGTGTCTCTCTCTCCCCTTGTCTCTCTCTGTCTCTCCGTGTGTCTCTCTGTCTCTCCCTGTGTCTCTCTCTGTCTCTCCCTGTGTCTCTCTCTCCCTGTGTGTCTCTCTCCCCTTGTCTCTCGCTGTCTCTCCCCGTGTGTCTCTCTGTCTCTCCCTGTGTCTCTCTGTCCCTCCCCGTGTGTGTCTCTCTCTCCCCTTGTCTCTCTCTGTCTCTCCGTGTGTCTCTCTGTCTCTCCCTGTGTCTCTCTCTCTGTCTCTCCGTGTGTCTGTCTGTCTCTCTCCGTGTGTCTCTCTGTCTCTCTCTGTCTCTCTCTACCTGTGTCTCTCTGTCTCTCTCCCTGTGTCTCTCTGTCCCTCCCCGTGTCTCTCTCTCTCCCCTTGTCTCCTTCTGTCTCTCCGTGTGTCTCGCTGTCCCTCCCCGTGTGTCTCTCTCTCCCCGTGTCTCTCTCTGTCTCTCCCTGTGTCTCTCTCTCTGTCCCTCCCTGTGTCTCTCTGTCCCTCCCCGTGTCTGTCTCCCCTTGTCTCTCGTTGTCTCTCCGTGTCTCTCTCTCTGTTTCTCCCCGTGTCTCTCTCTCTCTCCCCTTGTCTCTGTCTCCCTGTGTCTCTCTGTCTCTCTGTGTCTCTCTATCTCCCCTTGTCTCTCTCTGTCTCTCCGTGTGTCTCTCTCCCCTTGTCTCTGTCTCTCCGTGTCTCTCTCTGTGTCTCTCTCTGTCTCCCCCCCGTGTGTCTCTCCCTCTCCCCGTCATTCTCCCCCCGTGTGTCTCTCTCTCTCTCTCTCCACATGTCTCTCTCCTGCTATATGTATATCCGCTTGTCATTATATAAACGTGTGGGCGTGCGCACACCTCTGCTCCTGAGCTGACCCTTCAACTCTTCCCTCCACCCTTGACCCCCCCCCCCGCGGCAGACGTTCCATGTGTTGTCCTACAAAGATCGGACCATACGGACGAAGGGGTGAGAGACAGCAATCGGCGCTCGTGAAACCCGCTGCACAGCACGCCAATCATCCCCCCGTGTAGCTGCCGCGTGCAAGGTGCTGTTAGCGAGTAGCAGCACCTACGAAGGCCCACGTGGTACACAAGGGGAGGTGGGTGGCCAGCACCAGGCCCGGCCGCCTTTGTCTCCCCAGTGGGCGATGTTTACACACCGCAAGCTGCACATTTGAGGCCGTAACTGGCTCAGATAATTGTGTCGGTGGTGGCCGTGAGCGGGCAATCGATGTAACACGTTGCAGGCTTTTGCGACCAATATTATTCATGGTAAAGGCTTTTGTGGGTTAGATCGCGTTATTTATAAATGTGTCGTAACCCTCCACCACCCGACACGGCCAATCGGCAAAAAAAAAGTGTCACGTTGACAAAAAGACAAAATAGTTTCACTACTTTAGCCAAACACCGGTGTGTTGAAGAGTGAATCCAACTCTGGTTTGCTTGGTTCGTGGTGCAGCGTGCTGAGCACTACGCTTCCGCTCCCCGCGCGCACACACACACACGCGCAAACACGCGTGCACATGCACGTAAGGTGTGTACGCGTGCGTGTACGCGTGCGTGTACGCGTGCGTGTGCGTGTAAGTATGTGTGTACGCGTGCGTGTACGCGTGCGTGTACGTATGTGTGTACGCGTGCATGCACGCGTGTACGTGTGTACGTATGTGTGTACGCATGCGTGCACGTGTGTGTGTATGCACACCTGTGTGTGTACGCGTGTGTTTACGTGTGTGTGCGCGTGTTCATGCGTGTGTGTGCGCGTGTTCATGCGTGTGTGTACGCGTGTTCATGCGTCTGTGTACGCGTGTTCATGCGTGTGTGTACGCGTGTTCATGCGTGTGTGTACACGTGTGTTTACGTGTGTGTACGCGTGTTCATGCGTGTGTGTGCGCGTGTTCATGCGTGTGTGTACGCGTGTTCGTGCGTGTGTGTACGCGTGTTCGTGCGTGTGTGTGCGCGTGTTCGTGCGTGTGTGTGCGCGTGTTCATGCGTGTGTGTGTGCGCGTGTTCATGCGTGTGTGTACGCGTGTGTTTACGTGTGTGTACGTGTGTTTACGTGTGTGTGCGCGTGTTCATGCGTGTGTGTACGCGTGTTCGTGCGTGTGTGTACGCGTGTTGATGCGTGTGTGTACAAGTGTGTTTACGTGTGTGTACGCGTGTTCATGCGTGTGTGTACGCGTGTTCATGCGTGTGTGTGTGCGCGTGTCTGTGAACGCGCGCTCCGCCCTACCGCTCAGCATCGGCCCGCTCACTGCCCCCTCCCCCTCCGCCCGTTGTTCACCCCCTTCAGATTTTGCTGCGAAAAAACAGAAAATCGAAGAAGAAATTCAAGAGAGAGTCCAAGGTGGGCCGCCCGACACTCGTCCCCAGCCCCGCCCCAGGGGGTTATGGGAAATGATTGTCACGTTGGCGATGTACGTACGCACGTTGAACTTCTTTGGCACCGTACGTGGCCAGCCGTGCTGATCGGAGGGTGGGTGACTGTGAGTGGGTGAGTGACTATGTGAGTGGGTGAGTGACTGTGTGAGTGGGTGAGTAACTTTGTGACTGGGTGAGTGACTGTGTGAGTGGATGAGTGACTATGTGAGTGGGTGAGTGACTGTGTAAGTGGGTGAGTGACTATGTTAGTGGGTGAGTGACTGTGTAAGTGGTTGAGTGACTGTGTGAGTGGGTGAGTGACTGTGTGAGTTGGTGAGTGACTATGTTAGTGGGTGAGTGTCTGCGTGAGTGGGTGAGTGACTGCGTGAGTGGGTGAGTGACTATGTGAGTGGGTGAGTGACTGTGTGAGTGGGTGAGTGACTATGTGAGTGGGTGAGTGACTGTGTGAGTGGGTGAGTGACTGCGTGAGTGGGTGAGTGACTATGTGAGTGGGTGAGTGACTGCGTGAGTGGGTGAGTGACTGTGTGAGTGGGTGAGTGACTGTGTGAGTGGTTGAGTGACTATGTGAGTGGGTGAGTGACTATGTGAGTGGTTGAGTGACTATGTGAGTGGGTGAGTGACTGCGTGAGTGGATGAGTGACTATGTGAGTGGGTGAGTGACTGTGAGTGGGTGAGTGACTGCGTGAGTGGGTGAGTGACTATGTGAGTGGGTGAGTGACTGTGTGAGTGGGTGAGTGACTGTGTGAGTGGGTGAGTGACTGTGTGAGTGGGTGAGTGACTGTGTGAGTGGGTGAGTGACTGTGAGTGGGTGAGTGACTGTGAGTGGGTGAGTGACTGTTAGTGGGTGAGTGACTGCATGAGTGGGTGAGTGACTGTGTGAGTGTGTGAGTGACTGTGTGAGTGGGTGAGTGACTGTGTGAGTGGGTGAGTGACTATGTGAGTGGGTGAGTGATTATGTGAGTGGTTGAGTGACTGTGAGTTGGTGAGTGACTGTGTGAGTGTGTGAGTGACTATGTGAGTGGTTGAGTGACTATGTGAGTGACTGTGTGAGTAGGTGATTGACTATGTGAGTAGGTGAGTGACTGTGTGAGTGGGTGAGTGACTATGTGAGTGGGTGAGTAACTGTGTGAGTGGGTGAGTGACTGTGTGAGTGGGTGAGTGACTGTGAGTGGGTGAGTGACTGCATGAGTGGGTGAGTGACTGCGTGAGTGGGTGAGTGACTGTGTGAGTGGGTGAGTGACTGTGTGAGTGGGTGAGTGACTGTGTGAGTGGGTGAGTGACTATGTGAGTGGGTGAGTGATTGTGTGAGTGGTTGAGTGATTGTGTGAGTGGTTGAGTGACTGTGTGAGTTGGTGAGTGACTATGTGAGTGGGTGAGTAACTATGTGAGTGGGTGAGTGACTGTGTGAGTGGGTGAGTGACTGTGCGAGTGGGTGAGTGACTGTGAGTGGGTGAGTGACTGCGTGCGTCGGTGAGTTACTGCGTGAGTGGGTGAGTGACTGTGTGAGTGTGTGAGTGACTGTGTGAGTGGGTGAGTGACTGTGTGAGTGGGTGAGTGACTGTGTGAGTGGGTGAGTGACTATGTGAGTGGGTGAGTGATTATGTGAGTGGTTGAGTGACTGTGTGAGTGACTATGTGAGTGGTTGAGTGACTATGTGAGTGACTGTGTGAGTAGGTGATTGACTATGTGAGTAGGTGAGTGTGAGTGGGTGAGTGACTATGTGAGTGGGTGAGTAACTGTGTGAGTGTGTGAGTGACTGTGTGAGTGGGTGAATGGGTGAGTGACTGTGTGAGTGGTTGAGTGACTGTGAGTTGGTGAGTGACTGTGTGAGTGACTATGTGAGTGGTTGAGTGACTATGTGAGTGACTGTGTGAGTAGGTGATTGACTATGTGAGTAGGTGAGTGACTGTGTGAGTGGGTGAGTGACTATGTGAGTGGGTGAGTAACTGTGTGAGTGGGTGAGTGACTGTGTGAGTGGGTGAGTTACTGTGTGAGTGGGTGAGTGACTATGCGAGTGGGTGAGTGACTCTGCGAGTGGGTGAGTGACTATGCGAGTGGGTGAGTGACTGTGTGAGTGGGTGAGTGACTGTGTGAGTGGGTGACTATGTGAGTGACTATGCGAGTGGGTGAGTGACTATGCGAGTGGGTGAGTGACTATGTGAGTGGGTGAGTAACCATGTGAGTGGGTGAGTGACTGTGTGAGTGGGTGAGTGACTGTGTGAGTGGGTGAGTGACTATGTGAGTGAGTGACTATGTGAGTAGGTGAGTGACTATGCGAGTGGGTGAGTGACTATGCGAGTGGGTGAGTGACTATGCGAGTGGGTGAGTGACTGTGTGAGTGGGTGAGTGACTATGTGAGTGGGTGAGTAACTATGTGAGTGGGTGAGTGACTATGTGAGTGAGTGTGTGAGTGGGTGAGTGACTGTGAGTCTGTGTGTGTGTGTGTGTACGTACGTTGAACTTCTTTCGCCACCGTACGTCGCCAACCGTGCTAATCAGAGGTGCGGATGGGGAGAAGGAAGGGCAACAGGCTAAACACAACAACAACAACGACAACGCAGTTCTAAAGAAATGAAATTTAAAAGTGCGTAGTTCGAGTGTGGAACGCTCTGGCTGTCCTGTCTTATCAAAGACGGGTGGGGGGCGGGGGGGGGGGGGACCCCCCTTGCCGCCAAGCATCAAAATATTCGAGTAGGTGTTTGACCCCTGCTCCGGCCGTAATTAAAGAGTCGCTTTGAGACGCCAAAACGCCAAACGGAGAAACCTTGGTGCAAGGAATCGCGTCGCCGCTGTTGGCCACGCAACGCAGCACCTCGTGCGTGGTTTATTAACGTTGCAGCGAGTAACTGATGCAATTGGCGGTTTCCCCGGGGGTGCCATCACTGCCACCCCCTCCCCCCTCCCCCCCGACCACGGGCCTTGCTGCCTCACCGGCAACTAAAAACTAGCGTCGCTCGATTGGCCTCGTCGAGAGCTACTCGGGGCGGCTGAGTTTCGTAAAGAGTTGAAATTTTTTTTTTACATTATGAGACCTCCTTTGCCAGAAACAAGATATAGGAATAGGTTTTTACCCTTTTAACTGGCACAAAAACTGACACCTTTATTCAAGGGGATCATGTTTGCAATAACCACAACACAAGCAGTCAAAATGCAAACAAAAGAGATAACTCTGATAAAAATATTGGCACTGTCCTTGAATTTGATTGGTCCACACCCGAGACGGCTTTTCTTAGAGCCCTTTAGTCTCCACTGGTGTTGGACCAGAAGGCGTACAACTCAAAAACAGCGCACTATCAGAGTATTGTTAGCTCGGGGTGATCATTTACATTATGAGACCTCCTTTGCCAGAAACAAGATATAGGAATAGGTTTTACCCTTTTAACTGGCACAAAAACTGACACCTTTATTCAAGGGGATCGTGTTTGCAATAACCACAACACAAGCAGTCAAAAATGCAAACAAAAAAGACAACTCTGATAATATATCAATACTCTGATAGTGCGCTGTTTTTGAGTTGTACGCCTTTTGGCGTCTTCTGGTCCAACACCAGTGGAGACTAAAGGGCTCTAAGAAAAGCCGTCTCGGGTGTGGACCAATTAAATTCAAGGACAGTGTATATTATTATCAGAGTTGTCTCTTTTTGTTTGCATTTTGACTGCTTGTGTTGTGGTTATTGCAAACATGATGCCTTGAATAAAGGTCAGTTTTTGTGCCAGTTAAAAGGGTAAAACCTATTCCTAAAAAAAAAATATTATTATCACTCCAGCGCTGTCCTACCAGACGGTCTCGTCCCTTCACCTGATGAAGGCCGCTTGTGTTGTGGCCGAAACGTTGTGATTTTTTGTTATTTTATTTTTTTACCTACTACGTGACTTTACCCAATAGAACCAAAGAGTATTATTATTATTGTTGTTGTTGGCATGATTTTACGTGAGACCCCGGGGTCCCCGCCAAACGATTCGGTTGATGCATTGTCCTCGAAACTGATTGGTCCGCACCAGCGGGGCAGCTCGGCCTTCTCCAGGCCGAGCTGAGAGTCCAACTGGGATTCCTGCCTGGATGTAATTGCCAGTCGAAACGTCGCGCTCAGAAATTGTCAACGATGTTGATTCACTCTGTGGTTCTTTCGGTGAAGTCGCGTGGAAGGAAAATGAATGAAGTGACGGCGTGCGACGTTTCGATCGCAACACGAGCGTTCGTCATCAGGTGCGAATGAAAGAGAAAATAAACTTAGTGAACTTAGAAATGTAAAGCAATGCAACACAGAGAGTCGGCTAACACAACAGTCAACACCCTACCTGGTTGATTAACGTTCTTCCAAAGATTGCAAAGTTTGAGAGAGAGATAAAACACAGACACGGAGACACACAGACAGACACACAAGCAGAGAGAGACAACACAGAGACACACACAGAGAGACACACACAACATAGACACAGAGAGAGACACACAAGCAGAGAGAGACAACACAGACACAGAGAGACACACAACATAGACACACAGAGAGAGACAACAGAGAGACACACAGAGAGAGAGACACAGAGACACACAGAGAGAGACAACACAGAGACACACAACATAGACACAGAGAGACACACAGAGAGAGACACAGAGACACACACAGAGAGAGACGTAGAGAGAGACACACAGAGAGACACACAGAGAGAGACAACACAGAGACACACACAGAGAGAGACACAACATAGACACAGAGAGAGACAACAGAGACACACAGAGACACACAACATAGAGACACAGAGAGAGACACAACATAGACACACAGACAGACACACACAGAGACACAGACAGGCACAAGCAGAGGGATACACACAGAGACACACAGAGACACAGAGAGAGACACAACAGATACAGAGAGAGAGAGACACACAGACAGACAGACACACAAGCAGAGAGAGACTCGCACAGAGACACAGAGAGAGAGACAGACAACATAGACACACAGACACACAAGCAGAGAGAGATACCACACAGAGACACACAGAGAGACACAACAGACACAGAGAGAGACACACAGACACAAGCAGAGAGAGATAACACAGAGACACACAGAGAGTGACTCACACAGAGACACACAACATAGACACAGAGAGACACACAGACAGACACAAGCAGAGAGAGACACAGAGAGACACAACATAGGCACACAACATAGGCACACAGAGAGAGACACACAACATAGACACACAGAGAGAGACACACAGAGACACACAGAGAGAGACACAGACAGGCACACAAGCAGAGAGAGACACAGAGAGAGACACAGAGAGACACACAGAGAGAGACAGACAGACACACAAGCAGAGAGAGACACAGAGACACACAGAGAGACACACAGAGAGACACACAGAGAGAGACACACAACATAGACACACACACAGAGATACACAACATAGACACACAGAGAGAGACACACAACATAGGCACACAGAGAGACACACAACATAGACACACACAGAGACACACAACATAGACACACAGAGAGAGACACACAACATAGACACACACAGAGACACACAACATAGACACACAGAGAGAGACACACAACATAGGCACACAGAGAGACACACAGAGAGAGACACAGAGAGACACACAGAGAGAGACACACAGAGAGACACACACAACATAGTCACACAGAGAGACACACAACATAGGCACACAGAGACAACACATAGACACACAGAGAGAGACACACAGAGACACACAGAGACACACAACAGAGACACACACAGAGACACACACAGAGACACACACAACATAGGCACACAGAGAAACAACGCCTCTGTGTCGAGGCCTTAAATGGAGAGAGAGAGAGAGGGGGGGGCAGAGAGAGAGAGGGGGGGGGGTAGATAAATTAGAATGTCAATGAGAGATTTGGAGCTTTCGTGACTGCAGGAAATAATAGTGCAACGACACGGGAACACAGAGAGAGAGAGAGAAAACACACTTCATGCAAACAAAAATTTAGAAATGTAATGCAATGCAACACAGAGAGTCAGTCAACACAACGCATGGCCTGGTCATCAACCAGGTGGGGTGTTGACTGTTGTGTGTTGCATTACATTTCTGGTGGTAATGTCTCTGTGTTATCTCTGTGTGTCTATGTTGTGTGTCTCTCTCTGTGTGTCTATGTTGTGTGTGTCTCTCTGTGTGTGTCTTTGTTGTGTGTCTCTCTGTGCGTGTCTCTGTGTTGTCTCTCTTTGTGTGTCTATGTTGTTTGTCTCTCTCTGTGCGTCTATGTTGTGTGTCTCTCTCTGTGTGTCTATGTTGTGTGTCTCTCTCTGTGTGTCTCTATGTTGGCTCTCTCTGTGTGTCTATGTTGTGTGTCTCTCTCTGTGTGTCTATGTTGTGTGTCTCTCTCTCTGTGTGTCTATGTTGTGTGTCTCTCTCTGTGTGTGTCTATGTTGTGTGTCTCTCTGTGTGTCTATGTTGTGTGTCTCTCTCTGTGTGTGTCTATGTTGTGTGTCTCTCTGTGTGTGTCTCTGTGTTGTCTCTCTCTGTGTGTCTATGTTGTGTGTCTCTCTCTGTGTGTCTCTCTGTGTGCCTATGTTGTGTCTCTCTCTGTGTGTCTATGTTGTGTGTGTCTCTCTGTGTGTCTGTGTTGTCTCTCTCTGTGTGTATCTGTTGTGTGTCTCTCTATTGTCTCTCTCTGTGTGTCTATGTTGTGTGTCTCTCTCTGTGTGTCTCTGTGTGTGTGTCTCTCTCTCTCTCAAACTTTGCAATCTTTGGAAGAACGTTAATGAACCAGGTAGGGTGTTGACTGTTGTGTTAGCCGACTCTCTGTGTTGCATTGCTTTACATTTCTAAGTTCAATAAGTTTATTTTCTCTTTCATTCGCACCTGATGATGATGGTTGCTTGTGTTGCCATCGAAGCGTCGTGCGCTATTATTTAATTTATTACTTTATATTTCTCCGTGGACTTTTTACCGAAAGAACCACGGAGTGAACCCTACTCGTCGCCAAAGCTCCGAATCAAGTTTCATGTCGATCCGCTCGTCAGCACACCGGGTTGGGCTAAAGCAGTTCACTATTAAATTTCGATTTAAAGCTTTCGTGACTGCAATGATTCATCTTCTTTGGTTCTTTCGGTAAAGTCACGTAGAATGATAATAAAATAATAAATAAAATTTTATTTTATCAATTTATTATTTTATTATCATTCTACGTGACTTTACCGAAAGAACCAAAGAAGACAGTTCACTATTTTGGTCTTTTGTCAATTTATTATTTTATTCTCATTCTACGTGACTTTACCGAAAGAACCAAAGAAGACAGTTCACTATTTTGGTCTTTTGTCAACGTGACACTTTAATTTTATTTTTTTACCGTTTTAGCCGTGTCGGGGGGGGGGGGGGGCGGGTGGCGGGTGTGGAGCGTCGCGACGCATTTATAAATAACGCGATCTAACCCAAAAACAACAAAAAAAACACACACACACACACATTTGTTATGGATAATCATTTCTTTAGGGCCGCTTTTCGTGGCCTAGGCTTGTTGTACCGCTCCCCGGCCGCCGCCGGTACGCAACACCGCCCGTACCTCCGATCAGCGGCGTTGGCTACGCGCGGCGCTAAAGAAGTTACCTGGGCGTGCGTGCAGTGACGCGGTCCCTCGTCGTCAACGTTGTCCACCACCACCACCGTCAACGTTGTCCACCACCACCACCCGCCCCCCGCCCCCGCACCGCTGCTATGTGCCCCCCCCCCCCCCCCCACCTCTGCAGAACCTCCTTTATATATCGGGCTCATCGACAGTCAGAGACGACGAATCGGACGACTTGCTGGTGGATCAAGGCATGCTGTGAGTGACCGCTCGCACGGGGTGGGTGGGTGGGTGGGGTGGTCATCTCAGTCAGTCGACCCGTGGCACCTGCTGGGTCTGCCCCCGTGACCTCCTGCCAGCGGGCGTTCGACACTCCACGTGGCCTCGGGGTGCACGTGGCCTGGCACAAGCGTCGTGGTGACGTCACCGCCACTTAGTGGCGAGTGGCGGTGGTTGTTGTGGGTGGCCAGCGCCAACGCCCGCCCGCCCGCCCGGCCGCCTTTGTCTCCCCAAGCGGCGATGTTTTTTTGTTTTGACTTAGACGTCGCGCCGAGTGCTCGTTTCAGGCCGAGTCAAACCTAGGGGAGACCCAGGACCGGTGCAGAGAATTGTCATGAACACACAAAGACAAAGATCCCCCGTGTAGCCTCAACAGACTGCGGGGGCAAGTGCCGTTAGCGAGCAGCAGCACTGCCTATGAAGGCCGGCACGGCACACGAGGGGGTGGGGTGGCCGACACCACGCCCGGCCGCCTTTGTCTCCCCAGTGGCGATGTTTACACACTGCACCAGGTACTCATTTAAGGCTGAGTCGACCTAGGGGAGGCTCAGGACCGGTTCAGATCGTCACCACTGTTGGCCTACAGATGTAGTAGCTACTACAGATGTAGTAACTACTACAGATGTAGTACTACATCTGTAGTAACTACTACATCTGTAGTAACTACTATAGATGTAGCAGCTACTACTAGATGTAGTAGCTGCTACAACTAGATGTAGTAGCTGCTACAGATGTAGTACTACAGATGTAGTAGCTGCTACAGATGTAGTACTACAGATGTAGTACTACAGATGTAGTAGCTACTACAGATGTAGTACTACAGATGTAGTAGCTGCTACAGATGTAGTACTACAGATGTAGTAGCTACTACAGATGTAGCTACTACTACAGATGTAGTTGCTACTACTACAGATGTAGTACTAGAGATGTAGTAGTAGCTGCTAAAGATGTAGTAGCTGCTAAAGATGTAGTAGCTACTACAAATGTAGTACTACAGATGTAGTAGCTACAAACGCTACGGGCCCCGCACTTTCAAGGGCCCCGCGCTAGAAGCTTTCAAGCTGTCAATTCCGGTTCAGTGATTCTGCACTTGCTCTACGACTATAGTACTATACTTGCCCTTCAACTTTTATAAACGAGCGGGTGTTTAAGCTTAGCGATTTGTCGTATTATCTGGCTGTATTGCAAATGAAAAAATACAATTACTTTACTACGCAAGCAGGGGCGGAGCCAGGATTTCAGGCCGGGGTGACATTCAACAAATGTTAATTTCAAGAATGATTTAAAGAGAGTCAGGCTGTTGAACTTAGACAACCATCGGTTGGCGACACACTCTGACGATGCAGTTGCACCGAGTCCGCCAGACCGAGTGTCGTACACTTATACGCAGAACGTCACCCCTGTCACAGCCCCCCTGGCTCCGCCCCTGTATGCAAGTAAATAATTGTTGTTTTAATATTTGTTTATTTATGTAGGGCCCCTTTATAACAACACGTGCTACAGGCCCCGCACTCGCTTCATCTGGCACTGCACGACCGAGTATGACACTGATGGACAGATGACGACGATGATGATGACAATGATCAGCTGATGATGACGATGTTGTTGACAGTGATAGACTGATGACGACGATCAACTGATGATGACGATGATGATGACAATGATAGACTGATGACGACGATGATGATGACAATGATCAGCTGATGACGATGTTGACGATTATCAACTAACTGATGACGACGATGGTGATGACAATGATAGACTGATGACGACGATGGTGATGATGACGATGATGATGACAATGATCAGCTGATGATGACGATGTTGACGATTATCAACTAACTGATGACGACGATGATGATGACAATGATCAGCTGATGATGACGATTATGACGATTATCAACTAACTGATGACGACGATGATGATGACTGATCAGCTGATGATGACGATTATGACGATTATCAACTAACTGATGACGACGATTTTGACGATTATCAACTAACTGATGACGACGATTTTGACGATTATCAACTAACTGATGACGACGATTTTGACGATTATCAACTAACTGATGACGACGATGGTGATGACAATGATCAGCTGATGATGACGATGTTGACGATTATCAACTAACTGATGACGACGATGATGATGGCAGTGATAGATTGATGACGACGATGATGACTGATCAACTGATGATGACGACGATGATGATGACAGTGATAGACTGATGACGACGATGATAACAATGATCAGCTGACAACAATGGTGATTGTGGCGATGGTGGTCATGATGATGACAATGATCAACTGATGACGATGATGATGATGATGATGACACTGATCGACTGATAATGATAATGACACTGATCGACTGATGACAATGATCGACTGATAATGATGATGACAATGATCGACTGATAATGATGATGACACTGATCAACTGATGACAATGATCGACTGATAATGATGATGACACTGATCGACTGATGACAATGATCGACTGATAATGATGATGACACTGATCGACTGATGACAATGATCGACTGATAATGATAATGACACTGATCGACTGATGACAATGATCGACTGGTAATGATGATGACACTGATCGACTGATGACGATGATCGACTGGTAATGATGATGACAATGAGCAACTGATAATGACGATGATGATGACAAGATCGACTGATGACGACGATGATGACAGTGATCCACCCATGACGATGACAATGACAACAGTCAACTTATGACGACGACGACGATGGCGGTGAGCGACTGACGACGATGATGACAATGGTCCACTGATGATGATGACGACGACGACGATGGCCCACTCACGATGATGACGACGTGGAGACTACCGCCCCCCTGCCCCCGCCCCCCGCCCCCGCACGCAGGGACCTGATGCAGGAGATGGATGAGGAGGAGAGCTGGGCCGCCGCCGGCACCGGCGGCACCGGCGGCACCGGCGGCACCGGCGCCACCGGCGGCACCGGCGGCCCCTCATTTGCCGTCCCCGAGGAGCTGAGGGCCCAGCTGGAACAGTTTGAGGCCGGCTTCACGCTGGGCCTGCCGCCCCCCGGCAGCGCGGAGCCACCGCCACTGCTGCTGGTCAACGACCCCGAGGCAAGCGGAGGAGGAGGAGGTGGTGGTGGTTGTGGTGGTGGTGGTTGTGGTGGTGGTGGTGGTGGTTGTGGTGGTGGTGGTTGTGGTGGTGGTGGTTGTGGTTGTGGTGGTGGTGGTGGTTGTGGTGGTGGTTGTGGTGGTGGTGGTGGTGGTGGTGGTGGTTGTGGTGGTGGTGGTGGTGGTGGTGGTTGTGGTGGTGGTGGTGGTGGTGGTTGTGGTGGTGGTGGTGGTGGCGGCGGTTGTGGTGGTGGTAATGGTGGTAGTGTTGGCAGTGGTTGTGGTTGTGGTGGTGGTGGTTGTGGCTGTGGTGGTGGCTCTGGTGGTGTAATGGTGGTGGTGGTGGTGTTGGCAGTGGTTGTGGTGGTGGTGGTGTTGGCAGTGGTGGTCATCGTCGTCATTGCCATCGAGTTCTTTATCATCGTCACGATCATCATCTCTCTAAAATGATCACGATCGTTGCAATCAACAACAAAATCATCAAATTTTGATTTAAAGCTTTCGTGACTGCAGTGATTCATATTCTTAGCTCTTTCGGTAAAGTCACGTTGAAGGGAAACAATAAAATAATAAAATATATATAAAACAATAAAAAATTCTCACGACGTTTCGACCATAACACAAACGGTCATCATCACGTGACGACCGTTTGTGTTATGGTCGAAACGTCGTGAGAATTTTTGTTATTGTTTTATATATACTTTATTATTTTATTGTTTCCCTTCAACGTGACTTCACCGAAAGAGCTAAGAATATGAGTAGCAAAATCATCATCACAATTGCGCGACAATCTTCGACATCGTCATTGCCATCGTCAGCATGAGCCGGCGTTGTTGCCTCCTCCTTACCCCCACCGTGCGTGCACCTCCCATCCCCACCCAGGGATTCCCGCCCCTTGAGACTCCTCAGCACGCCGAGGGCGCCGACGGCGTGCGCGAGGGTCTCTACGAGTGAGTGCGCCACTCACCACTCACCAGCACCACTCACCACCACCACTCACCACCACTCACCACCACTCACCAGCACCACCACTCACCACCACAGCCACCACAGCCACCACCACCACCACCACTCACAACCACTCACCACCACTCACCAGCACTCACCACTCACCACCACCACTCACCACCACCACTCACCACTCACCACCACCACCACCACCACCACTCACCACCACCACCACCACTCACCACCACTCACCACCACCACCACCACTCACCACCACTCACCAGCACCACTCACAACCACCACTCACCACGACCACTCACCACCACCACCACAGCCACCACTCACCACCACAGCCACCACTCACCACCACAGCCACCACCACCACCACCACTCACCACCACCACCACTCACCACCACCACTCACCACCACCACTCACAACCACCACCACTCACCACCACCCACAATCACCACCACCACTCACAACCACCACTCACAACCACCACCACAGCCACCACTCACCACCACAGCCACCACCACTCACCACCACCACCACCACTCACCACCACAGCCACCACCACCACCACTGACCACCACCACTCACCACCACTACCACTCACAACCACCACTCACCACCACCACTCACCAGCACCACCACTCACCACCAACACTCACCACCACCACTCACCACCACCACTCACAACCACCACCACTCACAACCACCACTCACCACCACAGCCACCACTCACCACCACAGCCACCACCACCACTCACCACCACCACCACTCACCACCACCACTCACAACCACCACCACTCACCACCACCCACAATCACCACCACCACTCACAACCACCACTCACAACCACCACCACAGCCACCACTCACCACCACTCACCACCACAGCCACCACCACTCACCACCACCACCACCACTCACCACCACAGCCACCACCACCACCACTGACCACCACCACTCACCACCACCACTCACCACCACCCACAACCACCACCACTCACCACCACTCACCACCACCCACAACCACCACCACCACTCACCACCACCACTCACAACCACCACCACTCACCACCACAGCCACCACCCCCTCCCCCCCCCACTGCCTACCAGGCACAACGCACCTCGCTCGAATCCGGCATCACCATCGTCAGCAGCGTTACTGTCGCCAGCAGCATCATCAGCAGTATCATCGTCGGCAGCGTCATCAGCAGTATCATCGTCGGCAGCGTCATCAGCAGTATCGGCAGCATCATCAGCAGTATCGGCAGCATCATCAGCAGCGTCATCAGCAGTATCGGCAGCATCATCAGCAGTATCGGCAGCATCATCAGCAGCGCCATCAGCAGTATCGGCAGCATCATCAGCAGTATCGGCAGCATCATCAGCAGCGCCATCAGCAGTATCATCGTCGGCAGCGTCATCAGCAGTATCGGCAGCATCATCAGCAGCGTCATCAGCAGTATCATCGTCGGCAGCGCCATCAGCAGTATCGGCAGCATCATCAGCAGCGCCATCAGCAGTATCGGCAGCATCATCAGCAGTATTGGCAGCAGCATCATCAGCAGCGCCATCAGCAGTATCGGCAGCGTCATCAGCAGTATCGGCAGCGTCATCAGCAGCGTCATCAGCAGCATCATCAGCAGTGTCATCAGCAGTGTCATCAGCGTTACCATCATCGTCTTAGGCGGGATCGTCAGCATTCCTTCCAGTCGTCGTCTTGAAAGCGGTCGCTTGAGCTGCGACGAAGGACTCGCCTTGGCGGAACGCTTCCTCTGCGATCACGAACGTGCCCTCAGCTGGCTTACCCGTTCTCTTGGGTTCTCTCGCTAAAGTCACGTAGGTGGGGAAATAAATACCTAACAAATAAAAAAACACAGAAATAAATAAATCGTAACGTTTCGATTGCAACACAAGCAATCGTCATCAGGTGTGACAACCACAGCAAGGACATTTACCTTCTTGGTCCTTTCGGTAAAGTCACGTAGAACCCTGGCTCCGACCGGAGCGCGGAAGATGCCCAGGGCCGCTGGCCGGACGTTGCCCCTCCAGGGCCACCTTCCTTGCCCTGTACACGGCGAGCTTGGCGTGGCCGAAGAGCAACGTTGACCGGCCCCTGAAGATGTTGGGGTCCGTCGCCCTTCGGGTATCCAAAGATGAGGACCGTCGGGGAGAAGTGGAGGCTGAACCTTAGGAGGATGTTTCTCAGGACCTTGAAACAGCGAGTCCAGGCTCTTGCACTCCACGTATTGGTGCGCCACCGTCTCCGCTTTACCGCAGGACCGGCGCTCCGGGGACGTGTCGGTGAAGCGCGCCAGGGAGACGTTGGTGGTGACGGTGCCGTGGGCGATGCTCCAGCTGAGGTCGCCGATGCGGTCGTACGTCGGGCTGGAGTAGAGTTGCCTCCAGCGAGGCCTCTCCGGAGAGACGCAGGGCAGGGCTCTCCTCCAGGCATGGTCCTTGTGGCTCCTCAGGGTGTCCTGTTGGTGAAACCGGACCATGTAGGAGTACAGCACCTTGCTTTTAATGTTCGCGAAGGCGCCGGCTGGGAAGTTTCCCAGCCGGCACAGGTCGTCATAGTCTGCCTTCGTCCGTCGGCAGTGGCGACTCAGGGGCACGACGGAGAGCTCCGGTGAAGGAGGAACGAGAGGGGGGTCTCGTCATCCCCCGATGCCGATGGGGGGGGGGCTTGGCGTTCTCCCCATCGCTGCCGCTGAGAAAGCCCCCTTGGCTTCGGCCAGGATCCCGGCAGCCACCCAGGGCGGCTGCAGCCCCCCCGTCTTTGCGGCCACCTCGGCCGGTCCGAGCCACCGGCCCCACCGGCCCCGTGGCTCCACCAGATCCCCCATCCTGGTGAGCCGCGCGTTGGCGAGCCGCCTCTCCACGCCGGGGGTGGCGGCGGTGGTGGTGGATGGATGGCAGCTTTGTCTGCGGGTTCCTGAGGATCGGTTCGAAGACCAAAACCTCGGCCGATCGCGCCTGGTTCGGCCTCCTGACGGCGAGGGAGCTCCACGTCTGCAGGACGCTCCCTGTAGAAAGGGTGGCAGCTGTCCCAGTGGGAGGCCCTGCAGGTCCATGTACAATAGTTGCTTGGAGCACTGCAGACCCCCCCAGCTGCTCCAGAAGGAAGGAGGCCGTGACGCTCCAGGCCGGTGCATGGGCGGCGTGCAGGAACTTTCAGCGCGTCCTGCAAGTCGGAAGGTGGCCGGCTGACTCCGCACGCTCACCGGCCCGTGACCGCCCTCGTCCAGTGGCAGAGCCAGGACCCCCAGCCGCGACTCCGGTGTCCTCCGCCCGGCCAGAAGAAGTCGAGGACTCGCTTCTGTCGGGGTCTCTCGGCGTGATTCGCAGAGGCCTTCATTGCCTTGATATCATGCCATCGAGCCGAGGCAACGTCCGCTCGGTCTTCCTTCACCTTGGCCTCGGCAAGGAAGTGCCGGAGTTCTTCCGGGGGGAGTCTACGAGGGTCGAGAAGTGTCGACCCCCTGGGCTGCCCTCGGCTCCCTACGCTGGGGCAGTCGTCCCGACCCGAGTCTCCCTCCCCCGCCATCCGGCTCGGCTGGAAGAGCCACAGCGGCCTGGCGGGCGCATGGCCCAGCGGCGTCTTCTCCCCCCCCAGTGTCAGGGGTGGCCTGGGGTGGCTCCTGCTGAGGCCCGTCGGGTTTTGGGTCCACAGTGGGACGGGGGGGGGGGGGGGGTCCTTCCTCGCCCCCTAGCCAGCGTGGTCGACGATGTCTCTCCACCGACAATCCCCCTCCTAATAAAGTAATTAAAGCTTTCGTGACTGCATAAAATGACTCATTTGGTTTTTTTCGGTAAAGTCACGTATGTAGAAATACGATAAAATTATATTAAAACAAAAAACAATCGCGACGTTTCGATCACAACACAAGCGATCTTCATCAGGTGTCAAGAACAAAACACGGAGGTAAATACAACAAGATGAGAATTCAACAAACCTGAAAAAACATTACGTGAAGCACATCCAGTCAGGCCAACAACACAGTTAGACACTTCCTGGCGGACCACGAATTTCAGAAGAGTGAACACGAAATTTAACACTCTTCTGAAATTCGTGGTCCGCCAGGAAGTGTCTAACTGTGTTGTTGGCCTGACTGGATGTGGCTTCACATAATGTTCTTTCAGGTTTGTTGAATTCTCGTCTCTCATCTCCTTGTTGTATTTGCCTCCGTGATTTGTTCTTGACGCCCGATGAAGATCGCCTGCGTTGTGATCGAAAACGTCGCGATTGTTTTTTTGTTTTGATATAATTTTATTGTGTTTCTACGTACGTGACTTTACCGAAAAAACCAATGAGCAATCCCCCGCCTCTTGCTCGAGGGTGGAAGCGAATTGTGTTTCCACCGGCTTTGTCCATAGCTGGTGGGGGGTGGGGGAGGCTGGGAGAGGCTCTGTGACCACAGGAGATGGATCGATTTCCGTGGCGATGTCGCCTTCATCGTCCACGGCCTCCTGCCGTGACCGGCCCTTCCCCAGCCGCAACGCCGCCTCTTCCTCTTCCCTTGCCGCTCGCGCGTTGCTCGGTGCGAGGGATTTCACCGCTTCTTCCGGCTCCGGGTCTGCCTGGGAGGTGTTCCTTCCTCTGAATTTGACCCTTGGGGTCCGGGTCCCGTCCGTGTTCTTTCCCTTGCGGATTGCCGCGCGAGGCGGCGACGTCGGGGCCACGACCTCAAGTGGGGGGAGGCTGCGTGGCGGCAGGGTCCGGTGTGGGATGTTTGGGGGGGGGGGGGGGGGGGGCCTTGTTGCAATGGAGGCTCCTGCTGATTTGCCCCCTTCGGACTGCCTCCCTCCTCCGCGATCTTTTCTCCGACCCGCGCCGTCATCGGTTTGTGGGGCAATCTCCTTCGGAAGTGCCCCCTCCTCGAACAAACAGTGACCAGGATGACATTGAAGCAGAAAAAAAAACCGTTGAACTGTGAAAACGATGCCTTGATTAACCCTGGGATTGTGCACGGGGCCTAAGAAACGCCACTGTGTTTCGAAAGCCGATGCCTCACCCTGAACAGTTAAATAATAAAAACGAATCTAAACACGCGAATAGATGGCCCTGTGTGTGCAAGAGACTGAATGCTCTTGTTGAAGAAAGTCCTGAAAAATAAATGAAAACAAAGTGAGGATGTTAGATTTTGACAGATAACACGAGGAGCTCTGCTTAAACACACATCTCTCTCTCTCCCACGCTCCCTCCCCTCCTCGCTCCCCTCCCTCCTCTCCCCTCCCTCCCACCCCTCCCTCGCTCTCCCCTCCCTCGCTCTCCCCTTGCTCTCCCACTCTCCCTCCCCTCGCTCTCCCTCCCCTCCTTCTCCCTCGCTCTCCACTCCCTCTCTCCCCCTCTCGCTCGCCCTCTCTCTCGCTCTCCCCTTGTGTCCCTTCCAACTCCTCCGCCCTTTGACCCCACGACCTCTCACCTCTCCTGCCGCCCCCCACCCACCCCTCGCTCAGCTACTTCTTCCACATCCTGGCGGAGCACGGCCCGCTGCCCCTCGACTCGTCGCTGCTCACCGGCGAGTTCCGGGCCGCCTTCCCGCCGGCGGCGCATTCGCTCGTCTCCAGCCGGGGGGGGCTGGCGCCCTTCCTCGCCGCCAGCCCCGGCTTCACGGTGCGCCACGGCGTCGTGGCGCTCTGCTCCGACGCTCACGAAGCCCTCCGCTCCCCGGCCGCCGACCTCGCCGCGGCCGCGGCCGCCGCCGTCGCCGTCGGCGACGGCGGCGACGTTCGCCCCCCGAGCTTTAACCTCTCGGCCACGACCCTCGACCCGGCGGAAGCAGAAGACCTCGAGCAGCCGCGCGACGGGGATCCCGGCGAAACCGGCGTCGGGGCCCGCGGCGGCGGCGCCGGCGCCGGCGCCGGCGAGTCCGCGGCGAGGGGAGGGGACCGGCGCGGTCGCGCGCCCGGGGGGGCGGTCGGACCGGATTTACCCGCCGGACCCAGCGACGGCGCCGCCGCCGTCGCTTCTGCCCCTTCTGACGCCGCCCCCCTCGCCGGCGCCGCCCCCCTCGCCGGCGCCGCCCCCCTCGCCGGCGCCGCCCCCCTCGCCGGCGCCGCCCCCCTCGCCGGCGCCGCCCCCCTCGCCGGCGCCGCCCCCCTCGCCGGCGCCGCCCCCCTCGCCGGCGCCGCCCCCCTCGCCGGCGCCGCCCCCCCTCGCCGGCGCCGCCCCCCTCGCCGGCGCCGCCCCCCTCGCCGGCGCCGCCCCCCTCGCCGGCGCCGCCGCCCCCGCGAAGGCGCCGCCGCCCGACCCCATCCTGGAGGAGCTGGACGACGGCCTGTCGGACGACGCCTTCTACAGTTCGGACGACGGCGCCAGCTCGTCGGCCGACAGCGCCGACTCCTTCTTGAACATCCGGTTCTTCCACTTGGACGACATCGACGACGACGACGACGACGAGGAGGAGGAGGAGGAGGAGAAGAAGAAGGAGGAGGAGGAGGAGGAGGCGGCGGCGACCGGCCTGGATGGCGCCTCCGGCGCCCTCGCCGACGCTTTCCGCTGGCGACCCGGCGACTCGCCCCGGCCCAACCTCAACCCGGCCGCCAAGGAGTTCACGCCGTGCTTCTACGGCCCGGCGTCGCCCGGCGTCGCCGGCGTCGCCGGCGTCGGCACCGCCGCGGCGCCGCTGGCGCCCCTGTACGGTGGAGCGTTCGAAGGACTCCCCGTGGTGGCGTCGCCGCCGCCGCTGCTGCTGCCCGTCCAGTACCCGGCCGTCCCGACGGGTGGCGCCGGTGGCGTGGACGGCCGGTGGCAGCTCCTCGGCTCGACGCCGGCGGTGCCGGCGACCGCGGCGACGCCGGCGCCGGGCTTGGCGGCCGCTCCGAGAGAGGAGGAGGAGGAGGAGGAGACGGGATCTGCCGTTGAGATGAAGAACGCCGAAGTGCAGGTGAAGATGCCTCTCCTCGTCCTCCCCGTGTCCTCCCCTCGTCCTCCCCGAGTCTCCCCGAGTCTCCCCGAGTCTCTGAGCGTCTCCCCGATTCTCCCCGAGTCTCCCCGAGTCTCCCCGAGTCTCCCCGAGTCTCCCCGAGTCTCCCCGAGTCTCCCCGTGTCTCCCCGCGTCTCCCCGAGTCTCCCCGCGTCTCCCCGCGTCTCCCCGAGTCTCCACGCGTCTCCTCGTGTCTGAGCGTCTCCACGCATCTTACCCGCGTCTCCACGCGTCTCTGAGTGTCTCCACGCGTCTCCGTGGCCTTGAGCGGCGTCTCCGCGTGCACGTGTCCCCTTGCCCGCAGGCCACGCCGCCACCGGGGCAGAGCGTGGAGATGAACACGGAGCCCTTCGCACCGCACGAGTTGGTCGAGGTGAGCTCAGCATCCTCCCCTCCCTTCGTTCAGAATCCTGATGCTGTGGTCTTTCAATCTGCCCGTGGCCTCGCCCCACCTCATCGTCGTCATCGTCAACTCGACTCCCTCGTCTCCTCCTCTTCTCTCTGTCCCTCCTCCCTCTTTGCCACCCCTCCACTGGAATTAACTTCCCCTGTTCATTGAGCAGCACTGCACCATAGACTCAACACTGCACCATAGACTCAACACTGCACAATAGACTCAGCACTGCACCATAGACTCAACACTGCACCATGAACTCAACACTGCACCATTGACTCAACACTGCTGCATAGACTAAACACTGCACCATATACTCAACACTGCACAATAGACTCAACACTGCCCATAGACTCAACACTATGCCACAGACTCAGCACTGCACCATAGACTCAACACTGCCCATAGACTCATCACTGCACCATAGACTCAACACTGCACCATAGACTCAACACTGCACCATAGACTCAACACTGCGCCATACACTCAACACTGCACCATAGACTCAACACTGCACCATAGACTCAACACTGCACATAGACTCAACACTGCACCATAGACTCAACACTGCCTGTAGACTCAACACTGCCCATAGACTCAACACTGCCCATAGACTCAACACTGCCCATAGACTCAACACTGCCTATAGACTCAACACTGCACCGAGACTCAACACTGCACCATAGACTCAACACTGCTCCATAGACTCAACACTGCACCATAGACTCAACACTGCCCATAGACTCAACACTGCACCATAGACTCAACACTCACCGTAGACTCAACACTGCACCATAGACTCAACACTGAGGCTCAACACTGCACCATAGACTCAACACCACACCATAGACTCAACACCGCACCATAGACTCAACACTGCACCATCGACTCAGCACTGCACCATAGACTCAGCACTGTACCATAGACTCAACACCGCACCGTAGACTCAACACTGCACCATAGACTCAACACTACTCATAGACTCAACACTGCACCATAGACTCAACACTGCACCATAGACTCAACACTGCACCATCGACTCAGCACTGCACCATAGACTCAGCACTGCACCATAGACTCAACACCGCACCGTAGACTCAACACTGCACCATAGACTCAACACTACTCATAGACTCAACACTGCACCATAGACTCAACACTGCACATAGACTCAACACTGCACCATAGACTCAACACTGCCTGTAGACTCAACACTGCCCATAGACTCAACACTGCCCATAGACTCAACACTGCCCATAGACTCAACACTGCCTATAGACTCAACACTGCACCGAGACTCAACACTGCACCATAGACTCAACACTGCTCCATAGACTCAACACTGCACCATAGACTCAACACTGCCCATAGACTCAACACTGCACCATAGACTCAACACTCACCGTAGACTCAACACTGCACCATAGACTCAACACTGAGGCTCAACACTGCACCATCGACTCAGCACTGCACCATAGACTCAGCACTGCACCATAGACTCATCACTGCACCATAGACTCAACACTGCGCCATAGACTCAACACTGCGCCATACACTCAACACTGCACCATAGACTCAACACTGCACATAGACTCAACACTGCACCATAGACTCAACACTGCCCGTAGACTCAACACTGCCCATAGACTCAACACTGCCCATAGACTCAACACTGCCTATAGACTCAACACTGCACCATAGACTCAACACTGCTCCATAGACTCAACACTGCACCATAGACTCAAACACCACCCATAGACTCAATACTGTACCATAGACTCAACACTGCTCCATAGACTCAACACTGCACAATAGACTCAGCACTGCACCATAGACTCAGCACTGCCACCCATAGACTCAATACTGTACCATAGACTCAACACTGCCCCATAGACTCAACACTGCACCGTAGACTCAACACTGCACAATAGACTCAGCACTGCACCATAGACTCAACACTGCACCATGAACTCAACACTGCACCATTGACTCAACACTGCTGCATAGACTAAACACTGCACCATATACTCAACACTGCACAATAGACTCAACACTGCCCATAGACTCAACACTATGCCACAGACTCAGCACTGCACCATAGACTCAACACTGCCCATAGACTCATCACTGCACCATAGACTCAACACTGCACCATAGACTCAACACTGCGCCATACACTCACACTGCACCATAGACTCAACACTGCACCATAGACTCAACACTGCACATAGACTCAACACTGCACCATAGACTCAACACTGCCTGTAGACTCAACACTGCCCATAGACTCAACACTGCCCATAGACTCAACACTGCCTATAGACTCAACACTGCACCGAGACTCAACACTGCACCATAGACTCAACACTGCTCCATAGACTCAACACTGCACCATAGACTCAACACTGCCCATAGACTCAACACTGCACCATAGACTCAACACTCACCGTAGACTCAACACTGCACCATAGACTCAACACTGAGGCTCAACACTGCACCATAGACTCAACACCACACCATAGACTCAACACCGCACCATAGACTCAACACTGCACCATCGACTCAGCACTGCACCATAGACTCAGCACTGCACCATAGACTCAAACCTACCCAGAGCCTCAACACTGCACCATAGACTCAACACTACTCATAGACTCAACACTGCACTACAGACTCAACACTGAGACTCAACACTGCACCATAGACTCAACACTGACCATAGACTCAACACTGCCCATAGACTCAACACTGCCCATAGACTCAACACTGCACTACAGACTCAACACTGAGACTCAACACTGCACCGAGACTCAACACTGCACCATAGACTCAACACTGCTCCATAGACTCAACACTGCACCATAGACTCAACACTGCCCATAGACTCAACACTGCACCATAGACTCAACACTCACCGTAGACTCAACACTGCACCATAGACTCAACACTGAGGCTCAACACTGCACCATCGACTCAGCACTGCACCATAGACTCAGCACTGCACCATAGACTCATCACTGCACCATAGACTCAACACTGCGCCATAGACTCAACACTGCGCCATACACTCAACACTGCACCATAGACTCAACACTGCACATAGACTCAACACTGCACCATAGACTCAACACTGCCCGTAGACTCAACACTGCCCATAGACTCAACACTGCCCATAGACTCAACACTGCCTATAGACTCAACACTGCACCATAGACTCAACACTGCTCCATAGACTCAACACTGCACCATAGACTCAACACTGCCACCCATAGACTCAATACTGTACCATAGACTCAACACTGCTCCATAGACTCAACACTGCACAATAGACTCAGCACTGCACCATAGACTCAGCACTGCCACCCATAGACTCAATACTGTACCATAGACTCAACACTGCCCCATAGACTCAACACTGCACCGTAGACTCAACACTGCACCGTAGACTCAACACTGCACCGTAGACTCAACACTGCACCGTAGACTCAACACTGCACCGTAGACTCAACACTGCACCGTAGACTCAACACTGCACCGTAGACTCAACTCACGACTCTCGGTCCGACCGCACGGACCGGGTTCGTCCGTATCTCTGAAAGCTCGTCAAGTCGACCGTTCGTAAGTGGGGGGGAGGGATCTCCCCCCCCCCCTCCCCCCCTGCCGCCGCTACAACCTGACGTCGGCGCGACAGAGCCCAGCGTCGTTCCGTTCCCGCGGCCTGCCGAGGCCTGAGCGTGACCTCGCCCCCCTGCTCCTTCGCCGCACTTTCGATTAGCGGCCGCGCCCGGGGGGGGCGCCTTCGCCTCTTGTCCAGGGCGAGCTCTGCCGCGGCGACCAGGAGCGGCGGCTGCTGCTGCGCCGTCTGGAGGAGACGGAGGACAAGTACCAGCAGGCGCGCCGGGAGTGGCGCGTGGAGCTGGCCAGCCTTCGCGACAGCCTTGCCGAGAGCCTCAAGGTGAGAAGCGTGGTCGTCGCGCGGCGGCGGCGGCGGCGACGTCACCCAGCGGCGGTGAGGTCACCGAGCGGCGGGGAGGTCACCGAGCGGCGGTGAGGTCGCCGAGCGGCGGTGACGTCGCCGAGCGGCGGTGACGTCACCGAGCGGCGGTGACGTCACCGAGCGGCGGTGACGTCACGGAGCGGCGGTGAGGTCGCCGAGCGGCGGTGAGGTCACCGAGCGGCGGTGAGGTCACCGAGCGGCGGTGACGTCACCGAGCGGCGGTGACGTCACCACGACGCTTGTGCCAGGCCGTGTGGACGTTGAGGCCACGTGAAGTGTCGAACCCCCGCCGACGGGTGGTCACGGGGGCAGACCCAGCAGGTGCCCCCCCCCCCCGCTCCCGTGCCCCCCCCCCTACCGTGCCCCCCCCTCCCGTGCCCCCCCTACTGTGGCCCCCCCCTACTGTGCCCCCCCCCTACTGTGCCACCTGTGTCACACGGGCACGTGGAGACAAGAGATTCACCCTGCGCGGCGCTAGCGGGGACCGTCGGGGCCAAGTGCGGCACGCGAGGGGGGGGGGGGGGCGGGTGGCCGGCACCAGCCGCGCCCGGCCGCCTTTGTCTCCCCCGGCGGCGGTGTTTTTAGCACGTCCCCACCGGGTGTGCTCGCTTGAGGCCCGAGCAGTAAAGTGGGTGCGGAGGCCCGGGCCCGCCGTTTCGGGGTTGATCGTCGCCCGCCGAGTGTTCGATTGGCCGCGAGCGGGGAATGGAACCCCCCCCCCGGGGCCTCTGCCGGGTTAGCGGCGCCCTGGGGGTTTCAAGGCGACTGTTCTGTATGGGACTGACGGCCGCCCCCGCCCCCGCCACCACCCCCGTGTAGAACTCGGAGCGGCTGCAGGAGCAGGTGGACCGCGACGGCAAACGCCTGGCACAGGAGCGCCGGGAGCACGCGGAGAAGATGAAGAGCACGCTGAAGGAAGCGGCGGCCATCAGGGCACAGAAGGAGAAGTATGGACGAAGCCTGTCGCCCCCCCCTACCCCCGCTCGCTCGCCCGCCCGCTCGCCCGCTCGCTCTCTCATCGACTCGCTCGCCCACCCATTGACTCACCCGTCCGCTCGCCCACCCGTTCACTCACTCGCTCACTCGACCACTAATTCCACCTGTTCATTCGCTCACCCGCCCATTCGCTCGCCCACTCGTTCGCCCATTCACTCTCGTGCCTGTTCACGTGCCCACTTACCCACTGGCCGATTCACTCGCCCGCCCGCCCGCCCACTCATTCCGCCGTTCATTTACTCACCCACCCACCCATTCACTCACCCACTTACTCGGCCACTCGTTCACCCATTCACTCTCATATCCATTCACCCAACCCCCTCACCCACCAACTCGCCCATCCACCCACTCGCCCACCCACCCGCTCGCCCACCCGCTCGCCCACCCACTGGACCACCCACTCGACCACCCACCCACTCTGCCACCCGCTCGCCCACCCACTCGACCACCCACCCACTCGCTCACCCGCTCGCCCACCCACTCGCCCACCCACTTGCCGGCTCTCTTCCTGCCGTGCAGGCTGGACAAGACCTTGGCTGAGATGCAGAAGAAACATGGATCACTGCAGGAGGAGTGTAAGCACCTGCGGTGAGTGAGTTAGTGAGGTGGTGAGTGGGTGGGTGCGTGGGTGTTGAGTGGGTGGATGAGTGAGTGGGTCGATGAGTTGAGTGACTTGTTGAGTGAGTGAGTGGATTGGCGAGTGACTTGTGGGGAGTGAGTGGATGAGTGTGTGATTGAGTTGGTGAGTGAGTTTGTGAGTGAGTTGGTGAGTGAGTTGGTGAGTGAGTTGGTGATTGAGTGAGTTGGTGAGTGACTTGTTGGGTGAGTGAGTGAGTTGGTGAGTGAGTTGGTGAGTTCGTGAGTGACTTGTTGAGTGAGTGAGTTAGTTGGTGAGTGAGTTGGTGATTGAGTTGGTGAGTGAGTGGGTTGGTGAGTGAGTCGGTGAGTGAGTTGTTGAGTGAGAGTGAGTTGGTGAGTGACTTTTTGAGTGGATGAATGTGTGAGTGAGTTGGTGAGTGACTTGTTGTGTTGGTGAGTGAGCTGGTGAGTGAGTTCGTGAGTGAGATTGTTAGTGACTTGTTGAGTGAGTGAGTTGGTTGGTGAGTGAGTGGGTTGGTGAGTGACTTGTTGAGTTGGTGAGTGACTTGTTGGTGAGTGACTTGTTGGTGAGTGAGTTGGTGAGTGAGTTGGTGAGTAACTTCGTGAGTTGGTGAGTGACTTTTTGAGTGGATGAGTGTGCGAGTGAGTTGGTGAGTGACTTGTTGTGTTGGTGAGTGAGCGTGTGAGTGAGTTGGTAAAAGTGAGTTGGTAAGAGTGAATTCGTGAGTGACTTGTTGAGTGAGTTAGTTGGTGAGTGAATGGGTTGGTGAGTGAGTGGGTTGGTGAGTGAGTTGGTGAGTGAGTTCATGAGTGAGTTGGTGAGTGACTTTTTGAGTGCATGAATGTGAGTTGGTGTGTGAGTAAGATGGTGAGTGACTTGTAGAGTTGGTGAGTGAGTTAGTGAGTGAGTATGTGAGTGAGTTGGTGAGTGACTTGTAGAGTTGGTGGGTTGGTGAGTGAGTGAGTTGGTGAGTGAGTTGGTGAGTGAGTTGGTGAGTGAGTTGGTGAGTGAGTTGGTGAGTGAGCGTGTGAGGAAGATGGTGAGTGACTTGTAGAGTTGGTGAGTGAGTGAGTTGATGAGTGAGTTGGTGAGTGAGCGAGTTGGTGAGTGAGTTGGTGAGTGGATGAGTGAGTGGATGAGTGTGTGATTGAGTTGGTGAGTGAGTGGATGAGTGTGTGAGTGAGTTGGTGTGTGAGTGAGTTGGTGAATGAGTTGGTGGGTGGATGAGTGTGTGAATGAGTTGGTGAGCGAGTTCTTGAGTTGGTGAGTGAGTGGATGAGTGTGTGAGTGAGTTGGTGAGTATGTGAGTGACTTGTTGACTGAGTGAGTTGGTGAGTGACTTGTTGAGTTGTGATTGAGTTGGTGAGTGAGCGTGTGAGTGAGCTGGTTAGTGAGTTGGTGAGTGAGTTTGTTAGTGACTTGATGAGTGAGTGAGTTAGTGAGTGAGCTGGTGAGTGAGCGTGAGCTGGTGAGTGAGCAGGTGAGTGAGTTCGTGAGTGTTTGTATGAGTGAGCTGGTGAGTGAGCGTGCGAATGAGCTGGTGAGTGAGTTGGTGAGTGAGCGTGTGAGTGAGTTGGTGAGTGAGCGTTTGAGTGAGTTGATGAGTGAGTTGGTGAGTGAGCGTTTGAGTGAGTTGATGAGTGAGTTGGTGAGTGAGCGTTTGAGTGAGTTGGTGAGTGAGCGTGTGAGTGAGTTGGTGAGTGAGCGTGTGAGTGAGTTGGTGAGTGAGTTGGTGAGTGAGTTGCTGAGTGACTTGGTGAGTGAGTTGCTGAGTGACGTGCCTCGCAGGGAGAAGGCCGACGCCGACAGGAAAGT